GTATGTGATGTTGTCTTTAATATTCCTTGACTCAAGTGTCTCCCTGCTGTGCCTGTAAATGTCAGTCCGGTTTTTTCATGGCTGCGTGCACAGATTAGAAACAGCAGGAGAGCTTGGGAATATGACTACAATACCGGTAAGGACTCTCGGTAAGGACTCTCGTCTTCATGGCACTGCTCAAGTAATTCTTGGAATGCAGGATCCTGCTGTTTTCTAATATTTACACACAACTGGAGTCATCAAGAGCAGTAAATGCAGGCTATAAGGAAAGCTTACTTTCTTTGTGTAAGGGACTTTGCATTCAAATCAGGACTCCCAAGAGCTGCCACCCCTTCTCCACCACCACCCCCGCTCAAAAATGCAGGTTATTGCAATATTTTTAACATTGTCAAGTGCTTTTCCATTCTCTCGTTGCTTTTTTAAAGCATCAGAGCTCCTAGGAAACATACTTGTTTGTTCTTGAAGCTTCTCCATGGATAGACAAACTTCCTGGTCTTTATCTTCAAAATCACATTCCCTGCCTGGATCTATCTTCAATCCCAACATTCCCTTTCTTATAATTTCCACTCATCCATCTGTAATATATTTTCCCATCTTCTGTTCCTTGAAATGATTTAGAGATTTATCCCTTGCTAATCCATGTTTGGAAGTGCCTCTATTTTTCTTCTACCAACCCATTGCTCAAATCTCACATTTTCAAGGAAGCATTGGGAAAATTGATACCCTATTCCAATTAAGCCAAAGTATGTATCTTTGAACTAACAGTACATTCTTCCTGTTCCTCTGCCTGGTTGGTTCCTTTTTATTACCTTTTTAGACAATAGAATTGTCAGTATAGGTTTGAGCCAGACTGTAGTTACACACATATGCACACAAATGCGACCAACAACTTATAATTAAATTTTCAAGATTTATTTTGCACAGACATTATTTCCTTTTTATTCAAGTTTATACAAAGTAACTAAATGCAAGAATGTGCAAAGAAATGCCAAAATACTCTGAAACTTTTGTAAATCATATTAAACGGTACATTCTGCATATAAGATTTAAAAACTTTATTTTTTCAAGCTAGCAGTATATTGCACGTTTATGTATGTTTAAACATAAACAGATACAAAAGGGGGAAAAGCCAAGTGCTACTGTAATAAGTAAAATTAAAAGGAAAAAATAACAAGAACCCACTACTCAGTGCAAGTAGGAAACTCAGGTTATTCTGGATTTTTTAGCTTCTGAACTCTCTTCCTTGGTTTCAAGTTTGTCTTGGTTTTGGGTGAGATCTTCTGTAATTTGGGTTTGGTGGCTCCAATCTCTACAGTTATTATGAATAAAGACAATTTCATTATTAAACAGACAGTTCACAGAAATTCTGAATTTAATCCAATACTTTTTACTTACTAATACTTTATAATCCACTTCAAATTCAGGATATTAATAACTCTAAAAAAATGGTATTCCTAGCGACACAAACTATATTTGATTGGAGCACATGAAATTCTCCATTCCTTCTTGTACAATTGGTTTATTCTTATCCAATCACATACGTACCTTTGGTTTTTCAGAATTTTCTCCAGAATTATTATTAAATTTAAGTAACACAAATGAAAAATTTTACAACTGAGTTTTATAAGTTTTTGCTTAACGAAATTAGCTTAACCTATTACAAAATAAAATTGCCTATGGATGTACACTTAATAAAACTAAAACTGAATGCAAACATTATTTGGGGGATGTTACAATGGCATCCTCCTGAGAGGGACGGATGGAACTAGAGTTCCAGCAAATGCTATCATCAATTAGAGAGGGCCAATTTCTTAATATCCCATATAATATGTGTTTTCGCCCACATTCCAAGGAAATTATAGAAGATTTTACACAATATTTATTGTACTGTACTATTTCTGCTTCACCATGCAGAAAATTTTTGGAGCCCCTCTTGATAGAAAAATCATTTTGGCCTGAGTCACATCAAATTGAATATTTAATGAATTTAGACAAGGACCTATCACTACAGAGGCTAGCAAGCTTTGCACAGGCCGCTGCTAAACAGATATGATTTCATTACAAATTCCCAATATTTCTCCATTTCATCTGCTATAACCGTTTTAATATTCTTATTGATTTCTGCACAATATAATGTATTTTATTAATGTATGGATACTTTTATGTAGGTTTAATATATTTGGCATGGCTGTGATCAAAAATATAAACATATTGAATTGATAAGATAAGATAACCTTTATTGTCATTTTTATACTGTGGGCACAATGGCACATATCAAAAATGAAATTTAGTTGCCCGCTCTCAAAGTGAAACATATACATGACACACACCTAAACATACTATGAACAACATATGTACAGACCCACATCCCTACATATACGTAGCAAATAAATATTAAATATTGTCCATCTTGAATATATAACGGAAGGAGGAATATTTGATTTGAACAAGGAACTGGCAACCCATCAACAGTAAATATCTAGCCAACTTTTTCTGGCTCCAGCAAAATAAATTTCCTGAAGGGACAAAAAATGTCAAGAAGGAAAAAATGGTTTTGAAGACAGAAGCAATAGTGGAACTGCTTATTCTGACCTATGTTGTTTGTACTCAAGTTTTAAGTCTTACTCCAGCAACTGATGTGGAAAATGAAATAAACAGCTGTGCTTTCAGTTTGATTGCTCAAATGAAGCAAAGGGAACATTTGTCTATAGCCACAACAACAAATGTGTGCTTCCCATGCATCCACATAAACTATCACCCTTGAAATGGAGAGGAAGATACACCTACTGAAAAAATATAAACCGTTTTGAAGCAATGTTGAAATACTTCAGTTTAGCTCTATCCTTAAGTGAATTTTGCATCTAGTCAGAAGTATTGAGTTTTCCCTCTGTTGAAAGAAACAGTGCTATAACTCTCCCAAAGGTGCTTTTTCAGGAGGCAACTGGACTTTCTTGTTTTTCTTTGAAGATGTTTCACTTCTCATCCAAGCTTTTTCAGCTCTGAGAAGCAAAACGTCTCCAAAGAAAAACAAGAAAGTACAGTTGCCTCGTGAAAAAAGTATCTTTGGGACAACTATGACCTGGATGACTGAAAATCTCCATAGACACAATGCTATAACTCCTAAATAGAACTTGCATCTAAAAGTATTTTAGAATAATAACCTAACTACATAAATATGGTGGATCTGACTGCTAAACTGACTCTCTGGGACTGGATTAAAAGGCACTTTTCTTCACTTATTTATTTATTTATTTTATTTAATTTATATGCCGCCTAATCCCAAAGGACTCAGGGCGGCATATAAATAACTTGTTGCACTCATCTGTATAATCAACTCTAGAGGATCACTTTCAAGGATTTCTACGTGGTCTCATGGCTCCTAAACAGTGAGGTTCCACAAGGATCCCTTTCCATCATCCTTGTTTATTTATTTATTTATGAGACTTATATTCCGCTTTAAGTGCAAGCACTCTCTAAGCGGTGTACACCATTAAGCAATGTATATATATATTTTTACATTGCCCCCAACAATCTGGGTCCTCATTTTACCTACCCGGAAGGATGGAAGGCTGAGTCAACCTTGAGCCGGTGAGATTTGAACTGCTGACCTGCTGAACATAGTCAGCTAAAGTGGCCTGCAGTACTGCACTCTAACTGCTGCGCCACCTCGGCGCATATTGTTGTTCAATATTTTTATGCAATAACTCACTGAGTTCATTGGAGTCTAGGATTAAGTGTCATCAGTATGTTAACACCCAGTCAGTTAAAATAGTGTAAGTGTTAAATACCCTATTGAGCTTACTGAAGATGATCTTAAGAATGAGACATTGTGAATTGACTAGGAGCAGGAATCTGCTCTGGGACTTTGGATAAGGTTGCACTCTCCCTGAAAAAGCATGTATGCAGCTTTGCCATACCAGTGCAGAATGTATACTGCTGGTACATTCTTCAGAGATTACATAACGCTGAACCTAAAATAACTACACTGCCTGCCTAAAATGGGAGCCAATTTGATGTAGTGCAAGGGTCCCCAATCTCCAGGCCGTGCAAATAGTGGGAGAGCGCGTGCAGCTCCACTTGCCACTCACGTTCACATGCACACCTATCATATGCAGCATCCTCCCCCTCCCCCCGCACCAGAAAGGTTGAGGCCTGCTGGTGTAGTTGTTCAGATGCAGCAGAGCTGAAGAGAAGGCAGTTCCTTATCTTACTGAGGCTCAGGGTTCAAAGAGATCAAGCTGGAAATGGCTTGGATGGGGGTGAGTCCTGCCTAACGATTGGGTGGGATTTAGTTAATAATGGCATAGGGCCAGGCCAGGCTGGGTGCATCTGCAACAGGAAGAAAAACACAGCAATGGTCAGCTAGGGTGGCAGAGACAGAACAGAAGCCGACAGGGCTGGCAGAGGCAGCATTGTGTCTGGTGATCAGAAGGGCAGAAATGGGAAGTCGGGGTAGGGGGAGCCCCCCTGCAATAGTAACTGCATGTGGGCTGCCAAGTACCCAAATTTTGATCACATGACCACAGGGGCGGGGACTACAACAGCCATAACTTTAGGGATTTACATACTAGTCATTCAGCACTACTAACTATTCTGTCCCAGACTACATGAGTCCTTGTTAAGCTCACAAGGAGAAACCCCTCTTCCAACAAGCAGGCTAGAACCGCAGGAAAAAAACCAATCCCCTTTTATTATTCACAGACCTGAATCAATGTCCAAGGCAAACAAACACAGTTCACAGAAACTCAATCCTCAACACAAACGCTTGCCTTCGGCAACCAGCACCACCCACACCTTTCCATTTATTATGCAGCCAAGGTGTGGCTTCCTAATGCCTTCTCCTTTGCCTTTGGAGTGGCCCCATTCCATTCCTCTGTCCTACTTTCTTTTCTTGCTGGCATTTTCGTGCATCCTGGATATCTTCCAGCTGTGATTCATCACTGTCCAATTGAGACTCCCAGCACAGCTGTGTCTCAGCCTGAGCGCGAGTAGAGGGGCCAGGCTCTTTGTCAGACTGTAAGTCTTGGAGCTCCTCAAAGCTTTCCTCTGACTCTGATGTCACTCCAGGCCCCTCCTCCTCCAGCTGCCAGGTCCACTGGCTGGCGAGGAATCACAATACTAACTCCAAATGGCTGTTGAACAAATAGTTATTAAGTGAGGACCACTTGAAATGATATTTAAGGCCTTTAAGTCATGCCTCTGATCTGGTAGTGGGCTGCATCCTGTTCAGAACTAAATCGCACAAGCGGTAGGCGAGTGCATGCAGCTCCACCTGTGCAAGTGGCGGGCACACGTGCTCACACAGAACCATCCCCTCTCTCCCCAACGGTGCCGGCGGTCCACAAAGGCAGAAAGGTTGGGGACCGCTGCTTTAAGTGTCAACTACTGATACTTGAAAGAGCGTATTTCCCAATATCTAGTGCTCAAATGTTAAGACCTTGTTGAGCCATAGTAATATGTGGCTGCAGGTATGTAATGCCCTTCCCCTTGTGCTGACATTTTCTGTCTTTCATTATGAGTTGGCGTTACTGACACAGCCTATTTATGCCTTCTGACCTTTAGCTGTATCTTTGTCTCGATTGTTGTGACTGTGTCTTAACGTGGCTGTAGTTATTTAACTCGGTGTACTATTTTTCCTTGCTCTGTTATAGATTGTAACTTACCACAAGAAGCTCTGAATAATAGGTTGGCTATAAATGTTTTAAACAAATAAAAATAAGAATGCAAGTAATTTTTGCTGTCCAAAGCAATACAGCTTCATTTTGTGGAGTCAACACAGTCAGATCAAAGAAGGAATATAAGTCAAGACAAGCTTTAACTCAAGAAAGCAGGGTACTCTGCTTCAACATTTTTAATAGAAACATTGACGTGGGCTGGAACCGCCAATCCAAGTGTCTTCTGGGCATGAAAACTGTTGCAGGCCTTTGAAGTATTTGTTTTGATGTATACCAGGTGCCACTACATTTCACAGAACTGCCTCAAAAGTGTGCCTTGATTGAGGTTTCTTTCGAAGTGAAGCAATCCTTTGATGCTTTGCACAGTCCTAACTTGGAAATGATACCATCTGCCACAGTGCCTTTTAGAGACGGGCTATAACTCACAGGCAGTGAACGTGTGAGGTCCAAGCTAATTCCTGGCATTTCCTGCTAAGAGAACTGGCAAGCCTTCCCTTCAGTCGTCCTGCTGATGTGCATCTGCTGGTCATAAACTATGGATTATGCCAAAATACTACCAAGATTTTATAGCCTATCTGCATAACTCCCTTTTCTTAAAGTAACTGCACTCACTGTTGCAAATGACTGCTGCTGCTGCTGCTGCTGCTGCTACTGCTGCTGCTAGCCTCTGGCTGCAACCTGCTGTGATGAATTGGTCGTGGGGAGTCAGCACTTCCTGACAGTGAATTGGACAAGATAGGTGAGGATAAAAATGAAAATAGAGAGGAAAATAAATGGTGGGAAAAGGGGTAGCGAGCCACCGCCAACAACTTTCATCAACTAACTGTCATCAGTTTTATATGATGAGCAATAAATATATTTCACATTTGCTACTGACAGATAGCTGACAATCTTTCTTTTTCCATGTTATCCATCAAAGTAGATACATTTATTGTAGAATTTAAACATCTTTGAATTTTTCTACAGCGATAGATCAGTGACAAATACTAATAAGAATGTTTGACTTACTCGGTGATGCAGGTTTTCTTCTTTTGGTATTTTTCACACCGTCAACAGCTATTTCGGCATTGTCCTCATCAGCAGTAGCTGTCCCTGATGCAGCAACTAATTTTCTTTTTGTCTATCGTCCAAATCAAAACAGAAAAAAATGCACACAGGCAAGATAAACAAATGATAATGCCACACACAAAATTGCTAACCATATTTCTCTATCAAAGTTTTCTATCCTCTGAGTAATTAACTCAAAAAGCTTTTAACAGAAAAAGCATGTTATCTTAGGAATCATGCTATGATTTTTAATATCTTATTTTGTACAGGTTCCTGCACGAAACTATTTTAGTCTATTCAGCAACAAGAATGTAGTTTACAGTAATCAGGTACAATTACAACAGCATATTGAGTTGGGTCTTCCATACAACAATATTTCTTAGGCATACAAAATTTGCTGCTTGCACTGCCTAAGCAGTTCCTTTTATTCTGAAATTTTATTTTAAGTGATTGGAGTGGAGGAATTCTTGTCTTGTACAAATTGCAGACACTCTCTGCTAAGTTGCCTAAGAAATTCAGGCTTTACACACATTTCTGTAAGAATTTAGATATTCACTATATTTCATATTTTCAGAATAGTGAAATGTAGTGCTAAAATAATGGAAAAAATACATATTCCAGTATTATTTTGAAATTATTTTTTAAAACGACTATATAATTAGTGTAGAATTATAGATCATGTAACAATCACACAAACTGAAAACGTTCATTTATTATTTAAGATCAAAATTCAAGCTACAGCCAGTGAATCCCAAAAATTGAATTTCAAGCAGCCACCAATGTCAGCCTCCTTTTCTTAACCTCCAGATCCAATTATAGTAACCTAAATTACTCAATGTAAATAAAATAAAAAAACATACTGATATTTAATAATTTGAAAGTATTCTAATTAGAAAAGAAAGAAAATAAATAAAATGCTAATACTTCCTGGGATTCTTTTTTTTTATTATTGTAGAAGAGATTTCAAAAAACTTTCAGATTTATTTGGTTAAAATGTTGTTGTACCCTCCACAGCGGGACCTGCTTTCAACCAGAAATGCATCAGGTTAGACCCCTTGTAAATGCAGAGGACAATATACTTCAAACGAAACTGGAATTGTGTATATATGTTAAGAAGCCAAAATGGTTTTCAATGTTCTTAGCCTATCAGCATAAAAATTACTACTAAACTTCCACTCACTTTTTTGGTAAGTTTGATCAAAGTATATCCACAGTGAAATAGCTGAAGTGGTTACAAGCTTATATAGCCGATGAGAAAAGGGGAAAGTGCATTACATCTTTCCCAAGTGTTGCTTCATGATTATCATCCAAATCCTGCTGGGCTGAACAGATTGGTTCGATAATTATATACAATAACTGCACTGGGCAGGTAACCTTCAGCTGGCAAAGGGCAACTCCCCTGGGAGAACTTCCATATGCAAAAGGGCCTGATGGAGTGCATTAGGTACATTCTTTCTTGCTGGTGCATAGGCCTGATTAACACCAACCCAAACTCCAAGGTTAGCATGTCAGCAGATTTGTGATGCATTAGGCAGGAATAAACATAGACACTTTTGCTTGTTCTCACCAAAATTAAGGACTATTTCACCATTGTATTGCTTGTATATACAGGGTATAAATGCATTCTTCCCATCTAACTGGAATAGAGCTGTGCTTTTTTTTTTTTTTTAAAGACTTACTATTAAAGCAGCTACTCAATACTTTCCACACACTAAAATAGTGAAAGGCACATTCTTAATCTTGGATCCAGACCAGCTAGATAGCAAGAAAAATCACGTATTGTTCTCTGATGCAGAGTGCACAGCAAATCATGAATTACTAATTCATATTTATTTCAGTTCAAATGTTTTCTAGTTGTTATCAAATATCATCAATAGGCTCATCACTAAGCATATTCCACGGCTTGAGCAGTTTACAAGTGCAATAATGAATGTTTTTATTGCATGAAAATGAAGGAATCTTCTCTTTTGGAAGAAGTTAACTGAACAAACGTAAATGTTACAATAACATCATCTATTTCATATGAAAGTGAATTAAATTTAAGCCTAGTAGGGAATGCTCTCTCATTAATAAATCCCAGAACCAGAATCACTTAAAATGCACAATAGAGAAGATGAATAACTCCCTCTGTAACCAATTTCAATTAGCTGGGCAGCAACTGTTTCTACTATTTCTCAATTTACTAGCCATTATGATATGGCATCATCATCTGTCCCCAACAGAATGCAGTTTTGAGGTTCAACTTGGAATAGATTCCTAGCCAATATCAAAATTGAAAAATGTATTGTGCAGTCCTATGCATAATCAAAACGATGTCATTACTGCAGTTGGTTCCCTAGCAGGTATGTATAGGACTGCAGCTGTATACCAGTTAAAAACATAATGTTCTGCATGAGCTCATTTGGGGGGGAGGGGGGGTAGTTCATCTTATACCTGTCTGAGGGCTAAGGAATATGGCAATCTAGCCAATTTCTTACTGAGTTAGGAGCCTGAGCATCCTTAAGCCTGTACGTTCCTACCCTTTCTTTCAGATCTAGCCATTGTTTATTTCAGAACCAACTAGTTTGAAAAATGGTGGCATATATATAAAACTTTAGACAAGATCTTCTCCAAAAACAGACAGAAAAAGACATTAGTTCAGGTGAGAAAAAGTATGTGAACAAACCCAAAGAATTGTTATGCAAGTCTTTATGGGATCACAACAGACTTAAAGAGCAAATCCTTGGAATCATCAGAATAATCAAAATAATTCTTTCTTGCTACAAGGTTTATCGATCCTTTCTACCTACCTTTGTAATAGCCTGCCTCATTTGAAAAGGAGCATTCATGACACATAAGGCAGGTTTTTACCAATGCAGCATCATTGTAAAGAGAATGACATTTTATACATTAGGAACTTACTCTAAAGAATTCTACTCTATTTTTATTAACTGAGTCTTTTTTTCCAATTATAAACTAAATAAATACTTTTACAATTTTTCTTCTACACAGCCCAATTAAACTGACACAGTAGAAATGAAGACCTCAGTACACAAAATCTATCAAGTTAGACCCTGGAACTATATTAAGACAACCATTTCTATTTTTTTTTTCATTTCACATGCTAATCAAAAATACAGAAAGCCCAAAGCGTAAAGTAAGAATAGGAAGCAAGCTGCAAGTTCCTTGAAATGCTTAAAAGGATTCATGTTTCCAGTTAGCTCTTTTGTAAATCAAATTTTTCATCTGAAAGACATTCTATTCATTTGGCTGCAGAGCTGCAATCCCATTAGGCTCACAAGGTGCTCCTTGCTTTTAAACACCTGACCATTTGTTCCGTGACTGTTCAAAGTTACAGCAATGCTGAATGCAGGGACTGAGAACTGTTTCCCAGAGTTATGGCTGTTGCAGCACCCCCTTTAGTCACATGATAAAAATTCAGGCCCTTGGCAGCCTGACATCGCTTACACATGGATGTTTCAACTCCCCCACTTGCCTATCTTTCCCCCATCTCTGCCCCTTTGCCCCCTGCACTCTGCAGCCTCTGCCGCCCTAGCTGACCTTTGCCATCTTGTTCTCACTGGCCACATAAGTTTGTTGTCCAAGTTGCTCTTGGTGGTTTCCTTATGGGGCTTAGGGAGGATGGGATGGCCTCATGTGGCCAGCAGCTGCCTCATAAAGGGTCAGGCTCAAAATACTTTGCCAGCAGCGGAAGCAAGAGGATGGCAAGGATCACCTTGGGTGGCAGAGCACAGAGCAACAGGGGCCTCAGAACGCAAGGTGACTGGGACTGGGCTTCATACGGCAGCAGCTCAAAGGCTTCTTGCAGTCCCAGGATTGCCACACATGATGAAGCCCCTGAGCTGCAGTGTGACAAGCAGCCCCAGAGCCTCAGAGTTTGGATCAGGGTGGGTCCTCACATAACGATCGGTGGAAGTGAGGCTGTCACATGGTGTCATGGTTTACATGCAAATCACCCAGTGACAGAAACTCAGCTCACAATTGTGGCCATAACTCAAGGACTACGTGTACATTTGAGATAGGCATCTTCAACTGGAGACATTCAGCTCTTTCATCCACGTTCTTACTGGAAATGGCTACATTAGAAGCAATGCTACATTGGCAGCCTCGTCCCAGCAACCTATTCCCTGTAAATGCTATGGTGGGACACTAGAGTGTACAGGTATTCCTCGACTTACAACAGCTCATTTAGTGACCATTCAAAGTTACAATGGCACTGAAAAAAAGTGACTCCTGACTGTTTTTCACACCATTGCAGCATCCCCTTAGTTCCGCGATCACAATTCGAATGCTTGGCAACTGGTTCATTTTTATGATGTTTCAGTATCCCGGGGTCACGTGATCAGCTTTTGTGACCTTCGGACAAACAAAGTCATTGGGGACGCCATATTCACTTAACAACCAGGTCACTAACAACTGCAGTGATTCACTTAACGATTATAGCAAGAAAAGGTGTAAAATGGGACAAAATTCACTTAACAAATGTTTCAGTTAGCGACAAATTTTGGGCTCAATTGAGGTCGTAACTGGAGGACTACCTTATTTTTTACGATGCTGGTCTTGAATATGACTTGGATTAAGCAATTAATGCAAAATAACCGAGCAGCCATTAGCAAAAAATGGAGATTACCATCACTTTACATCTGTAACTTTGTCGATTTCCTAGCTTATTTTCAGCCTTTATCTAAAGTGCAGGTTCTGACTGTTAAAAGCTCTTCATGAGCTTGGGAGCAGAATTCTTAAAAAGATATGACTTTTAAAAAATCCTTCTTTTATCTAAAGCATAAGGATTAGTTACTGGAGAAAGTGTCTACATGATATTGCTGCTCTTGTCATGAAGTACACTGCCACCAGAGTCTCATTTTGTATATATTTAATAGTAAACTTCATGGTTGACTGGGATGTGAACTCTTGTTCCCTAAATATTTAAACAGCATTCTAAACATAAGTCAGGGGTCCCCAACCCCAGTCCGTGGACTGGTACCAGGCCGCAACATGCCAGCAACCGGTCCACACAAACAAGCAAAGCCTTATCCGTGGGATGCAGGCAGCACACAAAACCATGCACTCTCCAGTCCATGGGAAAACCTTTCTCCAAGAAACTGGTCCCTGGTGCTCAAAAGGTTGGGGACCTCTGGCTTGTTATGGATGTATGTGTTTTCCCTGCTAAGTTGTCATAACAAATAGGTGAGTTTCAACTGGATTTGTATATCAGAATATTTCTTTTTGAAAGATTATCAATGCTGAGGATTATCAATATTTTTTAAATTCAAATTTATATCAAAGTTTTTATTCTCAAAACCAGAAAGAACAAGTATTCAGCAAAATTTAGTTTTTAAATTAACCATCTATATCACTAAAAAATCCCTACTAGTTTGGAAACTGCTTAGTGAGGGTACACAGTATTTTTTTTATTCCAAATTACTTCATATCAAATAATAAATATCATTTAATATCTGTTAATATATTTACTGTAAATTTCCCTCTTTAGAAATAAAAACAAGTCTTGGTTTCACATGAATTGGCCACATATTAGCAGTCACTATGTGAGATAAAAACAAAGAGATATATGATGAAATTTAACTTGATAATGCCTTCATTTTAAAAAGAATGACCTACATTAAATGTATAGTATTTTTTTCTATCGGATGTGACCAATGACATATTATATAAGGAAATTTTATCATTTCAAGAATGCCTTATATTTACAAACTCCAAATGACAATTACATAATTATCACTATCCTAGAAGAATATATTTAATAATCAGGGTGATCAATTAATCCTGCCATCCAATACAAATGCATGGAAAACATGTCTGGATACAAAATGCATGGATAGCTTGAATAGGTATCACTATCAAATCCTTTGAAAGCTTAATTTAAATACAATTGGGGATGATGACTCATTTCAAGGTTTTGTTGTAATTTCTATTTTTCAGTAATGAACAACTGGTTACCCACACAATTAGATACCGCATACAAATTGCATGTACTACCATGTTTCCCCAAAAGTAAGACCTACCTGGAAATAAGCCCTAACTTGATTTTGGGGGGTGGGTCTAATATAAGCCCTACCCCAAAAATAAGCCCTAGTTTTGGGGCGAGGAACACACCTAAAAATCAAGCTAAGACAGGGGTGTGGGTATGGAGCTGCCCCACATGCCCGCACCCCCTAACTTTGCAGCAAGGCCTCTCCTTGCCAGCCCACTTCTTTTGCGGCATCTTCTGCAGCCAGGCCTGCATTTCGCAGTCAGGCCTTTACAGCCAAGAACTGAGCTATGGATGCAATCCATTGCTCAGTTATCGGCTGCAGAGGCCTTCCGGAAAGGCCTGACTGCGAAATGCAGGCCCAAACTCCATTCTAAGCTGCAGAATAAAGCTGCTCCTTCAGCTGCAGAAGTAGTGGGCCGGCTGGGTGGGCTGTCGGTGCCGGAGGTGAGTAGAAAAGCCACCACCTGAAAATAAGAGCTAGTGCCTCTTTTGGAGGCAAAAAAAAAAAAAAAGACCCTGTCTTATTTTCAGGGAAACACAGAATGCTGTTACACTTATTTCAGGGCAAGTGCTTTTTTAAAAAAATACTTTAAAAAAGCCCTTCTACATCTGTTTAAGAAAGTTTTGTGGCAAGTGCTTTCACTACCCAAGTACTCATGCTAAGTAGGATTTCAAAAGCAACTTTTGATTTGGTAGGGAGTTCTCCCCCTAACTTTAAAATGTTAGAACCAAAGAACCAACTTAAAGCTGTGTACAATCTTTCAACCACACTTGAACTAGTTCTTTGCATTGCGGGTAGCTATAGGAAATTTAAATAAGTCCATGGCCCAGTCAAGTCTCATGCACACATTTTTTCTTTTACTGTCTTGATTTAATCTATGATACCCATTTAGAAAACAATTCATTCTTATTTCAATCAAAAGCAAGATACATTAAATATGAATCTGAATTAAGCAGACCTTAGGCTTTGCCGGAACATCACCATTCAATGAAACTTCAAAATCCAGTATGCCATCATCTTTGTGACCAATGTCTTGCAGACCTTTAAGAAATATTTGTCGTAACTCGTGGTATGGTGGTTTTTCAATGTAGGACAGAGTCATCACTTTTTCCATATACCTGGCTATTTCAACTAAAGAAAGCAATGAAAAGTCTAAATCAGTCAAATTACATTTTCATATAGCAATACAGTGATATGGTATAAAATTCAGATACTACTACACAGTCATAGCTAATATCCAAATATTGTAAGAAAAATATCTTCTTCTCTGCTCATAGAAACTATTTTGTTTCTGGAGAGAATTTATAAAATATATAAAATTCTGCTTGGAATAATCAGTATAATAGCTAGATGCAGATAAATATCACAGAAGAATCAAAAGGAGAGCTTTCCTGACAATTTCACATCTTCAAAAAAAAACTCTGTAGGGGATAGATTTGTCAAATGAAGAAGGGAATCTTCTCATATTTGTCAAGCTCTAAACTGACCTGAGGCAGTGATTAAATCTTTCTAGAATCATTTTATTCAGGAATATTGAAGCTTTACAGAAATATCAAATTTCATAGTATACATAACATGAACCTTGTTTACAGACAAATATGTTAAAGAATCTGGATATACAGTATAGATAAACAGATCCATATTTTAATAGCTTCTTTCTTAATCTTTTGACAACATTTGAAATGTAATAATTTTAACATAACCACAGTAAATCTTAAAGCAGAACTATGTTTAATGGTAATATGCTTTTAAAAATAAATAAGATCAGCAAATAGATTTAAACAGGGAAATTTATAACACCATTACTCAGATTTTTTGACTGATCTTTTCTAAAAAGAAAAAGATTTCCTATCAAGCAAATTATCTTTACTCAATTTCATGATATAGTTTCATTTATAACTCTTTTCTGTGCAATACGAAAACCTGCAAATGTATGGACCACCACAGCATCAGAATGCTGGTGAAACAGGTATTGTTGGCAAAATGGTTTGTTTTTCCTTTCAACTTTCTCTGAAACCTCAAATAAAGTATATTGTGAGGGAGGTGAGAAAAAGTCTGTTTCCAGGCTGCTCTTGTATAATTCATAATTATTAGACAAGGGTTTTTTTTATTCTGCCTGTAAACTGCATGTCAAGACTTCTTTGGACAATTTATTACATAATCCCCCCCAAAAGAGACACTGATAAATTTTGTTTCAATGAATTCCTCCGTATTTTTTTTCTTTCCTTACATGAAACAAATGCTCTTATTTGATGAAATAATTTAAGCAGACTCTTACCTACCTGGTTTATTTTCTTTAGTGAAACACTTCATCATGAATTCTGAAATGTTATCTGTATACCTGGGAGAAAAAAACAAGATGCCAAATTATGTTTAACATATCAATAGTTTTTCATAGATTTTGATTCCTTTCAAATATATAAATACATATATACAGTACATGCAATACACACATATACAGGCAGCAGTATTGAAGATTAATAAAGCTATCCTGCCTTTTTAAAATTACACTCCGTTACTGAATAAAATATGCTACAATCATGCTGTTAAGGGTAAGGACTGAAAACATTCTGACAATTAAAATCTTAAAAGCATAGAAATTCTGATGTATTAAGTTTCTGATGGATATCTATAGCATAATATCTTGTTTTGGATAAATCAAATCACAATGATTGGCAAACCAAAACTGCATTGGCATTTGGCTTTATGGAGATCTTATGTGCAAGATAACACAACAAATAAGAAAGCTAGAACTATGTTCACTTCTCTTGTTTCCAGCTGTCAAAAGAATACAATACTGTTTATTTAGGGCCCAAGAGGATTCAGCAGAGTTAGTAAAACATTTAGCCAACATTTACACTTCTGTTCATCTTAAAATTCAGTTGCAAGGTGATTTAAAATAAGCATTGGGAAGTGAGGACAACAAAAAGCACATGCCACTTAAGAATAACATAGCAACATTCAGCATTAGTACTTCACAGTATTTCTAGTTTCACTGTTTCTGGCTTTATCTCAGACTGCAGATAAAACAGTACAAAAGTCAACTGTCAAGATCTCTAAATGTCAACGTCAAGCATGATATCATTTATGGCAAATTCTGTTGTACTATTTCAACAAGCACTCGTTTGTTTGTTTACCTCTTTCTTTTTCTTTCACATTAGGCATTTTTGTCCTCTCTTGTAAGATTCAGCTCTACCCCTAATTACAAAGGCTCACTGGCTGGTTTTAGGTCAATTGCTCCTTCTCAGCTCAACTAATCTCACTAAGTTTTTATGGGGACAACGGAGAGAGAGGGTGCTATGTACACCACCTTGGGTTCCAGAAAGTAAGGCTGTATATAAATCCACCCATCAAAGTTGCAATATAGTGCTGCACTATGTAACTGCACAGCTGAAATAAGAATGTCATCCAACTTCCACCCAATAATTCAATTTCATTTAAACCTGTCAAGCCTGTCTCACCTGGATTTTTAAGATGAAAATATGCTATTTAGTTTCATGTAAGCATATCTATACTGAGCAGTTTGAGTACATCCAAGAGTATTGTTATTAAATATGTTAAAATTACCTAATTTTTGACTCTTTGACATAATCTGGATTTTTCAGATTATCATCCCAAGGCAGACTACCGCTAAGCCAGCAGATCATACAATAACCCAAAATTTCCAAGTCACCACGTCGTGAGGGAGCTAAAAAAGAAACAAGTGCTTAATTCATAGTGAAGATAAAAATAGTTATAAAATGTATCATTAAAGAACAAAAGGAATAATTAACTTAATACCCCCATGTCTTTTAAAGATGATTAAGAAGTTCTCCTTTAGGAAAAAATGTCAGGTTTATTGCATTGTAATATTAGGTACAACCTATAAAGGCAGAACACTACGGATTATAATTTCAGTTATACCGAAAAGGGGTTATTGGTTGGAGAGTTTCAGATTGCCATGACAAATTTAAGACCACAGGAAAAGTACAGTATGTAAAAAGGGAAAATTTTAATGGAATGAGACTGATTGAGGCTTTGATTGAAACAAGTTACATAAGAGGATAACTGTTTTTGGTAAACATTTTTCTTTTGAAACAGATCTTTTGCAGAGATAAATCTTATGTGCAGTTGTCTGAATTAAAAGGCCTTGCTCATGGTCACTCATACTCTGGTACTTTCTGGAATGTAGTGAGTGCAGGAAGGCCAGAGAATGAAGAGCGTGGCAAAGTCAGATTGCAAGAAGATCAAGGGGTGGAGGATGCATAGGAGCATAAAACTGCAACTGTCCATGAGAAACTGCAATCGTCGTAAGTGCAAGCCTGTTGCCAAGAGCCTGAATTGTGATCATATGACTGTGGGGGCACTGCAATGGCCCCAAATTTGAGGACCAGTTGCAAGTAGCACTTGCTCAGCACTGTTGCAATTTCAAACTGTTGCTGAATGAGTGCTCGGTAATGAGGACTTACCGATATATTCAACAACTTTGTTACCTTTTATTTGTAAGAAGAATGAATATGTATAAAAACAAAAACAATCTTACCCACTCCCTTGTGTGCATCAATACTAGTAAATTCAAGAGTTCCATCATGACATCGTTTGGGGTTTTCTTTGTAATCCTTGTGATTGCCTTCTGGAGAGTATCGAAAAGCAAGGCCATAATCTACCAAGTATACCTGTGCAGATTTCAAGCACAACAAAATCAATCCAAAAATTAAAAACAGCCACACCAGAAGATGTTTATTTATATAATACTGACAAGTTCTCATTATATCATTAATATCAGGAAATTTCATTCAAATATAAGTATGTATTCTCTTTTTGTCCAAGGATTCTTCTTAATATTAAAAGCCTAATCATTCATCCTATATACTTCAATAAAAAACAAAACATTATAAACAGGACACCCAAGCAAGTTAAAGTAAGCCTACCTGCAATCCCATAACAATCTAATATTGATGTTAAAAGAACCAAATAGGAAAATATTATCTGTACCTGCCTTAATAATTAACCAGTTCCTGATTGAACTGATGTAGAACGAATTGTCTCAGGAGTGTAGATGATGATTCTAAATATCGTATTACCAGCACATACCTAATTCAGAATTATTTTTAATAACCAAGGCTCACTTTACCAGTGGATGCTTTCAATTCCCCCCTGAAATCTCATGCTGCTTTTACCATTAGTCTCAATTTCATTTACATCTCACAAACTATTACAGAAGCAAGTCAGCACCAGACCTATCCTCTTTTTTTTCCAATTCAATCTGCTGGCTATACCTAGCCTTTTATGGCACTGGATCAGGTTTTTGAAGGGACCACCTATCTCCCATGGTTTCTGCCCTCCAGTAATATCTGACAGAATTGGTGCTCCCTCCCTCAAACAACTGCATGTATCAAGACCTGGGCCTCCTCTGTTGCAGCCCCTGCCCTCTGAGAAATTTGTGTAGCTCCCACTTCGGTAATCTTATGAAAGGCTTTTTTAAAATGGCCTTTCTCCCAGGCTATGGGCTAGGGCACTTGTGGACCCTGTTGGTTATGGCTTTTTGATATATGGGATATTGTTATCCAGTCCATGGGAGTTTTCTTTACTGTTTTCTATTTTTAAAGTATAAGCTTCCTGGAATCATTCTGGAACTTGGTGGCTTCTAAATCAAATAAGTACATAAATTCATTTCCTGGCTCCAAATCTGATAAGTGGAAATTAATATAGGTTGTAAAAAGTCTGTCCTTATAGAAAAATCTTAGACCCGGGCTGCTAAAATTTCTGACTTGATGAGCATGTCATGGGTTCTCACAAAAGAGATACCATGTAAGGCGGGGTCATGTCTTTTCGTCAACATAAGGTTAGCAAGCTACAAAATACACATTAACCAGGAAGCCAATAATCTAAAGAATATTTTCATTATATTGTAATTCTGTATCAAGCTAAGAGGATATGTCAAACATTAAGATGGGCAAAGTGTCTTTGAAAAGTGAGTTCCTGCTATGAATTTATTTCTTGATTGCAATGCAACTAAAATTTTCTCTTTAGAGTATGTAATACTGTGTGTATATTGCTTTAATTTTACCATACAACCCAATCATTTCCCTTTGATTTATGAAAGTATTTTCATTTTTACATAACTCTCATCTTCCAAAATAGTATTCTTTATCAACAACTCATACAATGGTGATAAAAACTGTGGATATAAGACAAAAACTTTGACCTCCAGTTTACAAACAACAAAAAGAAATCTAAAGTGATGAGGTGATCAAACAATCTCATAATATCTAAAATAACTATTTTATGCAGATAATAATAATAGTAGTAGTAGTAAAGTTGGAAGGGACCTTGGAGGTCATCTAGTCCAACCCCCTGCTCGGGCAGGAAACCCTACACCATTTCGGACAAATGGCTGTCCAGTCTCTTCTTAAAAACTTCCAGTGTTGGAGCATTTACTGCTTCTGGAGGCAAGCTGTTCCACTGATTAATTGTTCTCACTGTCAGGAAGTTTCTCCTTAGTTCTAGGTTGCTTCTCTCCTTGATTATATAAATCAATTATAAATCTAGGAGCTGATCTTTTACTGCCATTCCTGTCTGAATAAAGGCAATGCAACCATCTAGTGACTCTTGGACCTTTTGCCAAAGGAAGAGACAAAGTAACCCTCTCAATATTTCTATCAATTTATATGGGAATATGAAAAGTAGACAAGTAAAAGCTCTTGTGGGTGAATAAGTTCTATGGATTCATTTTCAAAAACAGAAAAGCTCCTTTAAAAGTACTATAATTCACTTATTCATCTCAAGAAAAGTACCTAAACCTGGAAATTGTTCAATTGCTAATGATGACTACTATAACTGAATGATAATAATAAATGGACAGCTAGAGATATTTCTGTAAACCATTTGATTTGAACTAATATGTTAAGAAATCAGGTTTTCAATTAACAGAACATTTATGCTTGATGGATTCTTCAAACAAAGGAAATAAAAAATTGACAAAGCAGACAAGCAAATGTAATTCACTGGTGTAGTATATAATTTTAAACTTCCACCCCCAAACAGCTATTTGAAATTCATTTTGTATTGCAAGCATTCTCTTTAATATTATTCAGGGCAGAATAGCCAATTTGATCAACTGCCAGCAAAGTGAATAAAAAATGTACAACATTAACTAGATATAAATGTCAAGCAGAAATATTAACGCTGTACACATTCAGAAAGGCAAGATTTCTGCTGAGGTTCACAGCAGTTCCATTTTCTTTAAAACAATAGGTTAAACATTGAAGGAAGAAAAGACTGAAAGTTACCTGATTTGGAATCTTGTGGCCCAGGAGAAGATTTGAGGCCTTGATGTCTCCATGCACATATTCATGTTCATGAATATATTCCAAAACATCCAGCTAAAAAACACAGAGCATCAGAAAAAAACTTCAACAAAATAAATTTCAATGAGGTCTCTAACATAAACTTAGAAAAACATTAACTTACTATTCTCAGTCCCAACTGTAACACTGTTTTGTGTGAAAACTGCTTTCCTTGTTCTTCAAATATCTTCTGAAGATCTTTCCCTAATCTGTCCATCACCATGAATCTATAACTGATTTGGAAAAAATACATTTCAGGAAATTGAAAATAAACATATACAAAAAAACAGGAACAAAAGGAAACCGGAACAGGATAGCAGTTCAACTGATACTAAAGGCAAATTTCTGAAGTTTAACAGAGATCAGGTATGTCTCCTGACTGAAGGAAACGCAGAATCTGTGCTATTCTAATTAACCAAACTTCTGTGCCATACTTCTGTGGCACCTGAAGCATGATCTCATTTAATTACTCCCCCTTAGGAAACAATAAAAACACAATTGTTTTCACTCATTAAATAACTTATCAAAAAAAATCAATAGAGGTCTTCTTTAAACAAAACCTTAATGCCTGTCACTAAACTACAAGGCAAAAAGCACAGTTAATCTCATTAACAACCCTTTCAATTAGTACATCTCCTGTTTGATATTTTCTTAATGGTTTAATTTTAATGATAGCCAATTTTTGTTACTTTTTTTTGTTACTCCACATATCTAGCAAGGTATTTTCAATTATCTCTTTGGACAGATATTTTTGTAATTTAGTTGTTAGGTAATACTCAAAATGGATTACTGCCTATTTATTCTGTTTTGGCCATGGGATGAAAAGCAAGAGAACAATAGCTGAATGTGAAATCCTACTACTTGGCCTGAATTCTTTAAACATATTTAGTTTTATTCTGATGGAATAAAGCTAACTTGGAAAGGTTAAACACCCTATCTCAGTGATGGCATACCTTTTAGAGACCGAGTGCCCAAAAACTGCTCCACCCCTTGCCCTACTCCCACCCCACCTGCCCGCAGGGCCACTCGTCACCTCCAGGGCCCGCCGCAGATCGCCCAGGCAGCCCAGCAGCACCATGGCGGCCACGCCCTCTGCCCGCACCCCGCAGCATCAACTGTGTGCAATGGAGCGTGAGGGCAGAGTCTTGTCTACGCTGCCTGGCTGCCATGTCCTTGGCTGTGCTGCTCCGCATGGGCAACCCTTGGGGGCGACTCCCCTCCAGGGGGGCTGCTGGTGAGGAGGGGGTCACGGGGGGAGGCAAGGCTGGGGCAACAGCATGTGTGCCCACAGAGAGGGCTCCAAGTGCCGCCTCTGGCACCCGTGCCATAGGTCCACTACCACTGCCCTATCTTATACTTCCTGAGAACTACTAAGCACATTTATTAAATTTAATAGAATATCGTAAAATTACTTAAGATTCACTTAATACTAACCACAATGCATACTTCCAAGTTTTTCAATAAAATACATAGAAGATTGTACCAATCCTCAATATGTTGATCATGATAAGATAAACTTAAATGACAAAGATCCACACTTGACATTATTATGACTCATTTTAAGAAATATTGTAGGGTTTGAAAAATTGGAATTAACGGAAGTTATATTATAAAAAGTCTTTGATATTCTAAAATAACAAATGGTTTATACCTTTTGCCATTCTTTTGATGCAAACCAGAACCCCAATATTTTGGTACGCCTAAATATTTCAGTTTGTAAGAGGAAATCCATTTTTTAACTGAAAAGAAACAAGTATTCAATACACATTTGTTACCACATAAGGTTAAAAACCATAATTGCTGTCTATTAAAACTTAGTATGAATAGTAGAGAATGATGATATTTTTTTAAAACAGGGGACTTCTCCTTCACTGAAGTTAATGGCACTGAAAAGCTTAGAATCTAAACTATACATGTACTGCGTTTTTTTTAATGTTTATACATTTTAGCCTTGATTTCTTCTATAGTTTTAGCAATTTAAACATAACAACTGCACTCCACATGAGTAAAAAGCTAACAAGATGCTAGCATGTTTAGCATACTATTTAAATACAATTGTTTATTATTCCTTTCCCACTTTTCAAGTAGCTACAGATTCCTAGTATTAAAAAAGGACAAGTTTTAGATCCAGTTTATAAAAATTATTTCCAATAAATACTCAATACTGTATTATTATATGGTTATAATTCACACTCTTAAAATAACCATTTAGAATCCTATATGAATTACAATAACTCAATACTTTATATTTCCCATATTTTTCTTAATATTTAAGAATGATTACACTGTTTTATTGAATAAAAGTGAATTGATTTACTTACTTAGTTCTGGTTTAGCAGCTCGCATGTAGAAATTTAACTCAGTAAAGAGTGGTCCATTGTCACTGGGCTCCTTTAAATATCATTTTATAAATAAATGCAATGATTTAAATTTGATTTATTCCACTTTTTTTCCAACAAAGATTTTACTAATATATAAAACATTCTTCTATTTTCTTATAAAAACTGTTCTTTTAACCATTTAATTTTTCTCCCTTATAATTTTTCTTGGTAATTGTTATATAATTGGGAAAGAGAAAAATAATTTAAAAATAAAGCATTTCAATATATACCAAGGGCCCAAGCAAAGCAACCCATCTAATATGGAGGCATCTAAATCCTCTAGAATGCTTACCACAATTGCTCTATAAACTTCCCAAGGCTGTATGCCAGGGGTGTCAAACTGCCAGCCCACTGGCCAGATGCGTCATGCCAAAACCGTGCCCACCCCATTGCCAGCAATGGAGAAAAAGTCACAATACATCGTGACACGTCATGTGACGTTGCGAGTCTGACACTCCTGCTATATGCATACCTCTTCAGGTAACTGTGAATTAAACAAAGCAGCTGTCTAGGCACATACATGGAGAGACAATTTGAGAAAGACTTTGAAGCAGCCATAAAAAACTTTACGGAGGATGCGGCAGTCTTACTGCTTTGCTCCTGTCAATATACTTCACCAAGCACACATTTTCTGTATCCAAATAATACCAACATATAAACTTTCAACAATTTTTATTGGCTCAGACAAAATTTATTTTTAAGCCAGTGCATGTTACAGACATACATTTAACCTAGTTGTCTCCCACCTGGTCAAGCTAGCAGTCAGTCTAGCACCATGCATTCTATTCTGCCTATCAACATCTTTCCAGGATCTCAGATAGAATTCTTCCCAAACAGGGACTGACCATGGGTTCTTATACAACTATATTATGAGATATAATAGATAATTATAATATCTCCCGTACATACAGATATTTTAATCAGAACATTTATTAGAAAAAGAAATGTCCTTGTCATTAATGGAAACAAATTTATGCATAAAGCAATCTACCACAGAATTGAATTGGTTTACATGGCTTATGCATTTTTTTTCTGATCTCATTTTGAAATTGGTGTCACTTTTTAACTAAATAAAAATATGATTATAACAAGACTAAATCATTAGTTTTATTTTTGTTTTATAGAACTGTTAAGAGTTTTGGTCATGGACAGTCAGTGTGTTATTTGTGATAGTTCTTTCCCAGATGACCCTGACTTAAATGGTTGTAATCATAATGCAGAATAGATTTAAATGTCTACATACACTGTAGTTAACTCTATTCTATAAATCTATAGCTAGTGTCAAATGTCACCATCTTCAAGAGATATATATTTCAAGGTATCTATTCATGCATAAATATAATTTATCACCTTACATTTAAATTCTAAATTATATCACAAAGCACTGATTCATATAAATATTTATATCAGTCACCTCTACTCATGCAGATCGCCTCATGTATATCACCAATATGAATCACTATGCATACTTTTCAATATATTTAACAGTAAAAAATGCGACATGTACATTATCTTATATCATAATTATAACTGATTAGTAGCATTTATAATTCCATACTAAAGATAAAAAGTAACAAGAAAAAAGCAAATCTACCTAATACTAATATAAAGCAATAATATTTGCAGCAATACTAAAATGCACTCTATAATTTGGCTTTTTTAATCAGTAGTCTTCTCTGATATCATCACAAGTATTCAGAATGTCAAAAGTGAGGGACCAGGAAATCGTGGTCTCCTCTACCCACTCATCCATATTAGTTAATGGGAATATAAATGGGGTAATAAAAGGCAGATGAGAGGAAAACATGCACAGGACATGCCCCAACATTTCTGAGGCATCCTGCATGCACTATTACTAGCTATATGGAAATGACTGCATGATCCCAATTCCTGCTGTTAATGAACTCATGATCAGAATGAGTGCTTAGATTCCATAGCACACTGCGACTCCAAATGCCTTATATGTCCTTAAGATCTCTTAATTTTCCAAACACAAAATTCATGAGGGGACAATGACAATTTTTTCTCCTTTACCATGGATCTCTAAAGTAAAATAGCTCATAATTTGCAATTAGTTATAAAATAAAATATACAGTGATTGCCCTAGAGAAATACAAGCAACAGGTCAGTTTCCAGATTATCTATCCCAACTTTACAGAAATTTTATTTCCTATGCAATTTTTGAATATTTCAAAGGAAACCAGTGTAAAAAGCACATATGTTATTCCACTATTCAATACCCAATCCAAGGAATATAAAGAAAATTAGAGATTATTTGAGCAAGATGACAATAGAATGTTTTTATTAAAATATTAATATTAGCAAAGCTTAAAATTCATTCTAGCTTAATTTAATCTACTGAAACAATTCATATAACACTGGTTGCCTGAAGATTTTCTACAATTTCACAAACGTACAAGTGGAAAAGTTTGTCTTTTCCATTTTATTCTTCAAATGCAGACTATTTCAAAATAAATTATTTCCAGAGTCAGTCTGAAGTTAGGCACACCAAAAATGAATGAGTGAATAAACTTACCACTTTTATAACATAGGGCGCATCACTGGTAACTGATTCAGATGAATTAACATCAGCTGTTAAAATATAAATAGTTTTTATCTTAATATCTTAGCGGCAATTTTTATATAACCAACAAATAGAGTAATTGGATGAAAACCAAATACAAATTAATGAGTATATTAAACAATATCGTATGGTGGAGCCTTATGTATTCTTTGCACAAATCCACCTCCATATCATAAATACCCATAATAATAATATAACTTGCTAAATTTTACATTTAATATTTCAACTTTGCATGTAAACAATGAATGCTACATTCCATTTTTTAAAACTGTACAAACTTGCCAAAACTGGCCAGTCAATCAAACACACTATTCTGCTTTAAGAGCAACCAGTTGGTGCTGCCAGATGTAAATAAGTCAATTTAAATGTTCCATCAGTGAAATATTCAGTGATTTTGGAAGGTGAATTGAAGCAACAAAGCCTTTCTTAAAGAACTATAAACACCAAGTCCTAATAAGAACATGGTAATAACATCCATAACAAAGATTTCTAATTAGCATAGCTACCTTACCCTCCCAAAAAATTTCATGTTTTTATATTTATCTGCTGGAACAGACTGGAGAAGATAGAAGAACCTATTCCGTTAGAAGAGTCCATTCTACCGGCAGCATCACTGGATAAAATACCAACAGAAAGTATTATGACAAAGGCCCAGCCCTTCTTGTAAGGGGAATATGAAGGCAATGGAAAAAATCAGAATAAGCAATAGAATCAAGCACACACACTCAGCTACTTTCTATTCAGTTCACCAGATGCTGTCACCAACCCCGCAGTCCCCTCATCAATCTGCTAATCAGCTGAATGGCAGAATCCCAAGAACACTATTTGGCCTGTGGACATCCTTTCCACAGCATGATAGCCATGCATTCTACAGCAACTGCTTGTCAATTGATTGGCAAGCTGGCTAAAGCTGGAGAGCCTTGAGGAGTTCTATACAACAACACAGCAAGCTTTCTACAAATTGTTTGAAGGGAAAAAGATAAAGTTGTATTGTCCCTTTTCTAAGGTCACTGCTTTTCTACTGTTATAGGAAGAGAGAAGCTGCAAAAAGTGATGAGGTTCTCCTCCAGGCAATTCTATTAGTTGAGTATTTTGAAACAAATATGCTTGTTCTGTAGGAAAGTATATCCATTTAATATTCACAGGGATTCTGCATGTGTTAAGAATATACATTCTAAAATAATTATATGCTGGCCCCTATATTTTAACAATCTTGGCAATATTCTTACCAAGGTACAGACAGCCAAAACCACCTTTGCCTATAACTGGACCAAGCTTCCACTTTTTCTTTAAAAGGTCAGTAAAAACTTCTCCAGGAGGAAATTCTTCTGCAAGTTTCCGTTTTCTTGGGCCTCTTTTTCCTGTCGACTTTTTGATATTAGGCATAATCACTAAAAAAAATTAAGAAAAAACAAAGTAATTAGAAATAAATTTGACTTATGTTTTGAATCTTAAAGGTCTTTATTGCCTTTTTCCATTTGTCACCCTGTTTGACAAAACAAAAGAATGAAAATCAACCCCAAACAAGTTCTGATCCTGGAACTCTAATGATTTTAGTATTGAATTCTTCTGGGACAAATTGATCAAAAGGCAAATACAAAAATATATTGTTTTACTTCCTATATGATACTTGCACCTCTTGATAAGGGTGCAAAAAAGGCTCTACAGTTTGAAAATAATATATTCTTACCAATTTCTCTTATCATATTGTAGCAAATAATTACGTTTTGTAAAAGTTAAAACAACAACAACAACAACAACAATAATAATAATATTAATAATAATAAAGTTGGAAGGGACCTTGGAGTCCAACCCCCTGCTCAGGGAGGTAACCCTATACCATTTCGTACAAATGGCTGTCCAGTCTCTTCTTAAAAACTTCCAGTGTTGGAGCATTTACTGCTTCTGGAGGCAGGTTGTTCCACTGGTTAATTGTTCTAACTGTCAGGAAATTTCTCCTTAGTTCTAGGTTGCTTCACTCCTTGCTTAGTTTCCATAGCATACCCACAGGACCATTACTAATATATACAACTTGTAGCCTTCCAGATATTGCTAAAAGACATTTTTCAATATTATTCATTCTGGCTATAGTTATTGAAAATTGACATTTAGCTATACCTAGATGACCACAGTTTACCTACCTTGGTATAAGATATGTCACAGAAGTGCAGCACAAAAGTAATATTCACTTTCTCTTTTTTCAATCTCTGAAAAAATGATATCTCACTAATTGTACTCTTTTTTTACAATAGCTTTTCTTTATTGTGGTGTGCCATTTAATTAATGGGAAATTGACAAAAACTGTCTTCCCTCATCATTGCTCCCACTTTGCCATTTTTTAAGCTGAGAGTCAGTGATTAGTTTTACCCCTACTATTGCCATCAACTCTTCCAAAGAACAGCTGACAGTCTCAGTTCAATCAAATGCAATCGGGCAGGAGATGAGGTTTGCTTTCCTTTTCATAAGGTTTCATTCTCGAACCTCTGATAAATATGAAAAGAAAATTACTCCTCATAAATAGCAAACTTCTTAAATTTTGGCAGAATTATTCGTCATTAAAAAAAATCAAATTTTTATGTCCTAATATTATTTATGACAATACTAACCATTATTTTACTATTAAAATAGAAGTTGTGCAACAGAGGCCTATTGATGGGGAACTTATACTTCTACTATCTCTCACCATTATATTAAACAGGTTGATAAGAGTAAGAATTCAACCATATCTGGAGGGCCATCTCTTGGCAGGGCCTTTTGTCATATCACATTATGTTAACCATTTGCCATTCCAGGCTTCTTTGTGGAACCTTCAACTTCTGTATCGCTTCTGCATTTAATGTCCAAGTTTCACAACCTCTATGTCAGCACAGACACTATACACATTTAAACAAATTCCTCAGAAATGCAGCGGTTAACCACACTGCATAATGAACAGGATAATAGCAATCCTTGATTAGATATTGATACTTTAAAAAATCCATTAAAATATCCAAAGAAATGCTGGGCAAATGTAATGCAATTTGAAGGTGTTAATTATAAGTATTTGCAGTGTACCGGTGAAATTGAAAAGCAGTTAAAGAATCCTTCTTGCAATGAACTCATTTGGGCTAATGAAGATACATTATCCCTAAAAAAAAAATACAGGTAGTCCTCGACTTACAACAGTTCATTTAATGACAGTTCAAAGTTACAACAGCACTGAAAAAAGTGACATACTTACAACTATTGCAGCATCCCCATGGTCATGTGATCAAAATTCAGATGCTTGGCAACTGATTCCTGTTTATGACGGTTGCAGTGTCCTTGGGACATGTTATGATCTTTTGTGACCTTCTAACAAGCAAGGTCAATAGAGAAACCAGATTCACTTTAACAACCATGTTACTAATTTAACAACTGCAGTGATTTGCTTAACGAATGTGGCAAGAAAAGTCATAAAATGGGGAAAAACTCACTTAACAAGTATCTCACCTAGCAACATAAATTTTGGGCTTAATTGTGGTTGAAAGTCAAGGACCCCATGTAAAAGAATATAAAATCTCTGCATTAACAAAATTTCCAAGTACAAAAGGCCACACTACTTAGATCTGCATATATATTACACCAATACATTAGTACATCCTACGTTTTTGGGAAGAACTTGATGCATATGAAGGTCAACTAGCTACACAACTGGCAGCTGTGATTTCACATTGTTGTGCACATTAATAAAATGTATTAAATTTATAAGCCCCAATTCTCAATTCTGAGCAGTTTAGAAATTTTTCAAAACATTTAAAAATATGGAAGTGTATAAAAAGCAGAAAAAGAACACAAAAGAGCAGAGGTAGCAGAGGAACCAAACCTAGATGGTAGCAAAGAAAAGAAAAGAAGGAGTAACAACGAGCCAGGTCTTTATGGTGTTTTGAAATACCAATAGGGTGGGAGCCCTTCGAACCATCATTCCACAGGACAACACTGCCACAGAGAAGGTGCACTTCTGGGGCCCTGACAGGTGTTATTCTTTAATCAATGGTATCTAGAGGGCGCCAGGTCTGCCAAATGAGTGTGACCTTATCCTTTCGGCTTTGAATCTATTCAACAAACAATATATAATAAACTGCATACCTTATTCACTTATTGGTATCTTAAAACAGACATAACCAATTATCATAGTGTATCATTTAGATAAGATGACATTAATTTGATTCATGAACATTGTAAACTTCTCAATGCTTGCTCAGGAGTGTTAACAAAAAAAAGCAGAAAAAATAGGTAGAACCCCATATTTCTCCATTAGCTCATAGTCCTTCTTTGCTTATCTTGTTTACTACAAAATTAGCATAATTACACTAGGTCAGGGCTTTTCAACCAATGGTACCGGTACCACCTGTGGTACATTGGCACCTGGCAGGTGGTACGTGACCATCCCAGAAAAGTAGTGCGGGAAGGGAATGAGCTGAACTGGCGGTAGCACCGCACAAGCCTGAGCGAGAGATGGCTGGAGCTGCAGGGCAGTCAAGGCTCAGCGGAAGTGCCAGGAACAGCACCAGGCTGATCCTGGCGCTTTTGCTGAGCCCAGAAGAAGCACCGATCAGCTGCTGGAATGTTGCAGCATCTCCAGGGTCTTGTGATTTACATTCAGATGCTTGGCAACTGATTCATATTTATGACGGTCACAGTGTCCCAGGGTCATATGAAGTGACCAAAACCTGCTGCAACCACCCAACAGACGGGGGGAATAAAAACCAAACACCCCCCACCCCCGCTGCCAATCCTCAACAGAAATGCTCACAACAATGAAAACCTCGGACAGGAAGAAGAGCGCCGCCAGGTGGGCAGGCAGGTGTCTTGCTCGGCTGACTTGGGGGACACTTTTTTCAGTGCCATTGTAACTTCGAACAGTCACTAAGCGAACTGTTGTAAGTGAAGGACTGCCTGTATTTTATCACTTTTTTCCTTTTTTTTGTGGTCATCAAGTTTTTGACACCTTGGTAGGCGACTGGTGGTACTCGGATGTTGCCATATCCTAAAAGTGGTACAATGGGTGAAAAGGTTGAAAAGCCCTGCACTAAGTTATTCATATTTGAATGCTATATGGCATAATTTCACATCCCCCCCCACTTTCTGCTCTCCACTGATCTTTTTGTTAGCATATTGATGCATTCTCATGTTTTCTTTTTATTTTATTGTTCCATTATTTTACTTCTATTTTGTTTACACTCTTTTCAATTCTTCCTTTTTTATTATTGTTAGCCAGCTAGAGTAGCCCCATGGCAAGATACAAGGAAAATAAATAATCCAAATTGAAAAGTCACAGCAGTTATATTCTATGGGCTTCCGTATATCACTTGAAAGTAGCCCAAACCACCTCATAGGGTTGTTGTTATGGGGCAAATAGGAGATTGAAGATGTGTTGGATATGTTCGCTGCCTTGAGTTATTTATAAAAATAATAAAAGTGATATATTAATAACCCTGGAAAAACCAGTAATGCAATAGATATGCAGACTGGGTGGGGGAAGGAATATTTGAGGACTTAGTGCAGCTTTCACCAATCCTGTAACTTCCAGAAACTCCTAGCCTAGAACCATTAACCTCGCAGAATTCCTGCAGATGTTATAGGAAGAGAGATCAATAGAACCCTGATTATTAAACAGATGATTCTTAAGATAAATGTTAAGACTAGCAAGAAGCAGGCTTAGGAGTAAACAAATAACAATCTTAATAATTAAATATCACTAGAGATATATATTTGGCATTTCTTGTACCAAGAAACAGTTCTCATCATCATGATTAGTAATAACTAAATTAACAATTATTTAGCAGGTCCTAAATAGGGCTATAAAGTTCATTGCTATTATTGTTTTCATCTCCCACTTTCTTTACAGGTTTCTTCCTATTAAATGTTTCCAAACACATTGTTTCTACATTGGGAAATGCAGAACTTATGTCCCTCATTCTCTAACACATCACAAACTGTTATTTATTTCAGTTTCCTTCTGGCAAACCCAAGATACTCCATTGAACAGAACTCATACTACCTCCCCACCTAAAAAGGAGGAAACGTTGACTTATATTTTACTTCAGCGAACCTACAATCAGAGGCCTTCTGAATAGTCCTAAGAATTCAAACTATGATTGTTGAAAACTAATGAGAAAGTTATGCTCGTTTGTACTGTAGATCTACTCACTTCCCCCAAAATGTTTCATGTTGTTTTTAGCATCAAAAGGCTGCCCCCTTTATTTTAATAGATCAGCATTTATAAAAATGGGAAAAAGAAAAATGTTTGGAGCAGTTTTTCCCAATCTAAACCTTCGAACTATTACATTCAATCTGTTTATTACAGCCCGTAAGGCCAGACATAATCAAAATGTATAACGAACTATTACATTAGATCTCCTACTAGCTTTCACTTTTAATTCACAAACTAAATTAAGGGTTTATGGGAGCTACATTCAGTTTTGAACTAAATCTCCTGTCCTGGATCGACTGTTAATCCCGCCCAACGGAGCGGAGCCAGTGGAAAGAGGCAATGAAAGACACAGCAAGACCCGAAAAATTAACCTATTCTGTAGATATTTCAATTATATTGCTAATTGACTATTTTTACGCCGACAAACACCGCTAAGAACGGGAAAAAGAAATACGCAAAGTGTTTCTGTGGCCACCGGCTCCTAAAAAAAGGGGGGGGGCTCCCAAACAGCAGAGACGAGCTACAGAGGGGCGAGAGGAAGAAGGCAAAAGCAGTAAGATCCACCTTGGGGCAAAGGAAACCACATGGTTTCCCGAGCTCTCCTCCCAGGGGAAAGGCGATGCAATTGTCGGCCCCCCCAGAGCCATAGCGAGAGAGCGCTTAGGGCCATACCTCGTCAGTCAAACAGACTCTGGCAAGAGGTCACACCAGGCGAGAGTGCGTAAACTCGACCACCACCGATCGCGTCACGGACAAAACTCAGCTCCTCACTCCACACCGGAAACGGGAGGGCGGAAGTTCGGAGTTGCCGCGCAAAGAGAACTTCCGTTTTCCAAACGGGATATAGTCCTGTAATTGTCAAGGCCGAGGGGCTGTCTCGCTTCCCGCGCGCCAAAAAGTGGGCGTGGCTTCAGCTTGGCGCCGAGTCCGTGTGTTTGGCTCTCTTTTTCGCGCATGGGTGGCGTTGCGTGTGGCTGCTGGGGTATAGGCTTCGGCACAGTTTTCGTAGTTGCCCTTGGCGCTTGACGCTTGACTTTTTTTTAAATAAAGCACGGAGGGACTCAGCCTGGGTTTCTTGTAGTGCACGCTCGAGAAATTCTGATTTCATACGTTTATTTCAGTTGCATCTCTCCGCCGTGCTTTTAGCCCGCGAATGAACCCATTCTTGTTCTTTGGCGCAGTCGGAAGTAAATCCCATGACTTTCAACCGAATTTGTTCCTGCCAATTTCGACTCTGTTCTTCCAATTTTCGCTCTATACTGCTGCGACCTCGGTTGCCCCACTTTCTAAATCTTGTTTGGAAACGACATAACAATAAGCGGAATAAAATATTTTACATTAATTTGTCCTTAGAATTTTCGTGTACCAACCTGTTTCTACTAACGGCAGTTTTTTTTACTGTTCAGAAAAATTGCCTTGACCTACCTGTTGCCAGGCAGGTGAATTCCCTGGTATTTTTCCTTGTGTTTTAAAGTGGCTTTATTGTATTTACCATCTTACTGTTTTGCCCCAGAGATCATAGTTTTTGGTGGATAGACTGGCTGTAAGTTTAACAGTTAAATTAACATCTTTTAAAAATGGTATACCCTGGTGTTTTGGTTTTTTTTTTGTAAAAAAAAATGTAAAACTGAAATATGACATCTTTTAACAACCATAATAGTGATTGTATAAGGTGAAAATATTTTAGAACAAAATGTTTTGTTATGTAATGTTAGATATTACTTTTTTAACAAAATATTTTGATTTAATAACAACCGAAGGCAATAGATTATCAAGTAATTCAGTTCACTGTATCACCTTACAAAAATAAATTCCCTCTTAGTTTAATGAGGGTTATTCATGGTGGTCAATACAGTTGTAGTTTTATTTTTGAAGTCAACAAAAACTTTAGATTCCTATTATGGAAAAAGTCCTAATGGAGATAATGGGCCTTTTTTATAAGTACAAATATGCTTTGAAGCTTGCTATCCGCTGACTAAATATATGCTTCAGGATAGTGTATCTTCAAAATATCTAGTGCTAAATGAGAATTGCTATGAACTTTCAATCACATTATACAAGTTACTGTTTTTCCATGTAATAGTGTCATCCAGCAAAGATAGTCCTGAATTAGTTTACCTCAAAACTGTTTTAAAAATCCTGCTGTTCTAATATCTCATTCTGCCTTTTATATTAAAAAGTTCTACATGGAATTTCTATGAGGCCCTAACAAATTTTCATATTTAATCTTGGCGATGTCCTCTGAACAGTCTTGGTGCAAAGGCTATGGGAAAATCTCCAGAGAGCTACAGAATTTTTTCTATGTGTAGGCAAGATTAAGAAGGAAAAGTATGTGCGTCTCTGTCCAATACAAAATTAGCAAAATAGAATAGGTAGAGGTTTAAAATACTGTATTTTGGGTATTAGCTTGGAACTGTTTTTATAATTTTGTCTTTGTACTTTCATGTTCCCCAAAGTCCTTTGCGATGGGAGGGGGCATTATAAATATGGATAACAAATAACTGGAATTAAATAATTTATGGCTTGGTGTAATACAGGAAACCAGACGTATTGGCTGTATTTGCTCAACATTCTTGATCTGGCTAAAATAGAATTGAGTAGTTTATAGTTCATTATGTTGTAGGAAACCTAATCTTAGTCTTATATTGTATAAATCACGCTATCACATGTAGATGTAATATGATTTATTCATAAACGTTATGTAAATACAGCACGTGATTTTATGGATAGATAGATCTTTTAACCACCTGAGGAAACAAAAGAGGAAGTTGTTTACAGAAGGCTACCAAACAAGAGTTCCTGAGCAACTTTGGGCAAAGAGCATTCTACAATGTGGAGAGTACTATGGAGAAGGCTTGCTGCCTAATCCTGTCCCCATATATTTCTGTCAAAAGTGAGAATAGTCAGTGGTTCACTGAGAAGCCAAAGGAAATGAAGCAATTAGAGTGAGGTGCAGAATGTCTTCTTTAGCAAACATAGAGAAAACCCTTTCTGTTACTGCCTGCTTCTTTGGAAAGTATTTATAGGAGATGATCAGGCTTATGCCCAGGGGAGGGGGTCAAACTCATCATCATTTTTGAGTCCCTTCACACCCACAAGAGATCTAAGTCTAGCTCACCTTGAATTCCCTTGACTTTTATCTACTACCAATTTGCTTTGACCATTAATAGTTTAGATTCTTGTAGGGCAGGGGTCCCCAATCTGGGCCACGGGCCCACTACCAGGCCACGGCCTGTTGGCCACTGGGCTACATAAGTGGCTGGTCAACTCACACAAGCATTGCCACGAGCATTGTGGGCATTCATAGCCCCCTTGTGCAAGCATCACCATGAGCTTCACAGGCATTCGCGGCTCCACTCGTGCAAGTGTCACCGTGAGCATTGTGGGCATTCATGGCCTCACTCGCACGAGCAACAGATATTTGCACTCATGCACATATTCACCCCCGTACAAAGCCATCTCTTCTTTTTCCCCTACCCCCAGGCCGCCAACCCTGAAAAGTTGGGGAACTGTTGTAGAGAGCTTTAGCATACAACAAACCTATATATTCATTTGAACTGCCTGGACTCCTGATTTTTTTGTGCTTGACATTATTCCACCTGAGATTAGATTCACTCCCATGCTTGTTTTTCTGAAAGTCATTGAAATCTGGCTTTTCTAGACAGACTTCAGAATAGACCAGTGATGTTGGGAGAATCTCTTGATATGGGTTTATATGTTGCAGTTGTTCCCTGAGGTACTGTTGTATTAGTTTAAACTATTTGTTAAAATAGTTTACAGTAACCTACTTAAAAGAAACATCTTACACTTTAGAATGCATGTAAATGCAACCTGAAAACTACCAAAATTAATTTTACAATAGTAGGATAAAATAATCAAATCCTACACAAATCTACTAATCAAAAAGGTCATCAGACTTCTCAGAAGTGAAGGAGGGAGCCGATTCCAAATCACAGGACTAGTTCCCTAAAAGCCCAGAACTGGAGACCACAATCCTGGAATCAGAAACAGAAGACCCTGTCCAGAAGAATATAAAAAATGAGTAAGGTTATAAGACACATTAAGGACAGACACTAAAGTTGTTATGACCAAAGGGCAATAAAGATACTGATCAGTAGGACTGAAGAGTCCTGAGAAATACCAAAAAAGTGTTCAAAGTCCAGAACAGCCCTACTTTAGACTAGAATCAAGTAGTGAAGGAACTTCTATTGACATAAATTATGAGTACAGATAGTCCTCAACTTATCACAATTCATTTAGTGACTGTTCAAAGTTACAGCGACACTGAAAAAAGTTACTTATGACCATTTTTCACATTTACCACCATTGCAGCATCCCCATAGTCATGTGATCAAAATTCAGATGTTTGGCAACTGAATATTTATGACGGTTACATTGTTCTGGGATTAAGTGTTTACCTTTGTGCCCTGATAAGCAAAGTCAATGAGGAAGCCAGATTCATTTAATGATAATGTTACTAACAACTGCAGTGATTCACTTAACAACTGTGGTAAGAAAGTTGTAAAATAGGGCAAAATTCACTTAACAAATGTCTTGCTTAGCAACAGAAATTTTGGGCTCAATTGAGGCCGTAAATTGGGGACTACCTGTATGGTAGATTTGTTGGGAGGGAAATTAATTTACACGGGACTAAGACTTTTTATTTGGGAGATAAATTCCCAATATCAGATAAAGTATTGTTTTACAAATAATTTAATGGAAAGATTAGTAGGTGTTGTCTTACACCCAAGGAAATTATTTGTCAGGATGTTGGTATCATGGGCTTCCACACTGAAAGACTAGGATTAGAGTATTTCTCTCCAAAGTTACATTTATTTTTTGTCTTATTTTGTTTATCCATTTGTCCTCCGTTGCAGTGAAAATGTGGCAATACATGCTTGTGGCCTTTAGAGCAGTGGTTCTGAACCTGTGGGTCGGGACCCCATTTGGGGTCGAACGACCATTTCACGGGGGTCGCCAAACAAGACTGTCCGCCATTTTTCCCCCTTTTCTTTGGCCACGCCCCTGGCACCCGGTGATGTATAAGTGGTTGGGGGTCACCACAACATGGGGAACTGTATTATGGGGTCGCGGCATTAGAAAGGTTGAGAACCACTGCTTTAGAGGAACCAAAACCTTGTGGCTTGAATATGTCACAACTGAACACTCATGTACATCCTATTAAAATCTTTGAAAAACAGACTGGATTGGGACAAACACCAATATTTTGCTTTCCCCACACTCAAGTATAGTGTGCAGGTAATTTTATTTTATTCTATTTTCACCCATAATAATTTGTATCCCATGTAAATAAAGTATTCTGTTTACTTATTGTTCATTTCATTTATTTCCTGATTCTCTGATTACAAGATGTTTCTTGGTATCTTTATATTTTTCTTTTTCAGACAAGCCAGACACAAGAGGTGTCTTACTGGTATGTGTGCACAGGTTATCCTACTCAGAAAGTTAAAATACAAGCTCACTCAGATACACATGCTTAGTTAATCACCACTGACATCCTCTCATTTGTTCCAGAAGCATACCAAGGGTTTAATCACATGCACTATTGTAATCAACTTGCCAATCACATGTTAAAGTGTTTTATTTTCTTTGACAGAATTACAATACAATCCCCCCATCCCAATCCATCTAAAACACCAAGATGAAAAGATTGATACTGCGTTACAAAAATGAGAACTGACACAAAAAAAACCTATGCTTCCCTTCAGAAATGCTAAGATGATTGAGAATTATTAGCATCTTTGCCCTATAAGTGGGCAGCTCTGTAAAGATTACCAAGAGCTTTATCTACTATATTTAGTTCAACACCAAGCAATTAAAGCTAAGGCCTTAGCCCATCTTAATTCCAATGTATTTATTTATATCCTGCCTTTATTATTTTTATAAATAAGTTGGTGGCGAACATATCCAAAACATTTACACCTAGGTTGTAGGTGACTGAATGTCATAGCTCTCCAGGTTCCCCTCCAAAATATACTGAATATTTGTGTCCTGGCTGAGAATACAAAATTCCTGAGCCCCAAACACGTATTCTACCACTGAGTTACAATCATTTCTTTTAAAAATATAAAACAGTTTCTAGACACTAAAGTGACTGCCTCTTATATACAGTAGTTTCAATAATAATTCCTGTTACTTTGAGCTTATCCACAGCCAAGGTCAGCCACCAAGTTTTGAGGGCAGAAACAAATGATATAGCTCTTTTACTTAACTCTCTCCTATCACAAATAAAACCTCTGAGCATATTTTCAAGTAGTTTTCCCCTTATGTCACTTCAAGTGTTCTGGTCCCTTTGGCCTGGTGTGCTCTACGAGGCTAACTTCAGCTGAATGGAAAATGATGAATTGGTGTTCAACACTAGTTTTGAAGAAGAAAACAAAAGCAGACTGAGAAGTAAGAAGCTCTAGGGGGGAAAAATGATTCTGCCAGGTCTCAAACTAGCCCTCTTCTATTTACAATGAATGTGTTCTAAAGTAGTTGTGAGTTTTGGATCCCAGGGTCAGGATATCTTTGATTTCTGACAGTATAGTACCCCCACTTGTTTTTGAAATAACAATTGGAGAGGGGGTCCTCCTGGACTCATGGCTCAATAGAAGGAAAAAAAGCATTAAGGAGAAGATCAGGGTTAGAGTTAGTCAGGGGTCAGTGGTATGGCTGCTTTTAGTACCATGGGGGAAAGGATTTTATATTGTTGGTTTCTTTGGTTTATGTTGTTTTCTGTTTTCTGTTGTTCTTTTTTCTGGTGACTGTGAGCTGACTAGGATCACTATATGAGATAAGTAACCACGTGAGTTCTTTAAATAAATAAATAGTGCTGTTTTAGTAATAATGATAAGAACGGCTGAAAAGGACACTAGAAAGAAACAAGGCAGGGAAAAAGCAATTTATTTAAAGCTGTTTGTTATGCCTGTCTGTGTGTACAGTGTTGACACTTTAACAGTACTAAGTTTAAATTTAGTGCACATGGCACAGGTAGAAGTACATAGTCCAGGAAGATCTGCCTCCAGGCAGACACAGAAATGCGGAAGGTGGGAAGGCATAGCAGCCCAGTAGACTTGTAGCTTATAGACTGAATCCCTTGCAGTTGTTACCAAAATGTTTCAGAGTCTAAATGGAGCTGGCAGAAGCAGCTTAAGTGGTCAGCCTGGACATACCCAAAAAGATTAGAGAGTTTGGAGACAGCGACGGAAATAATGAGAAAATGGGACCTCCAAATGAAGTAGGAATTTGTCCCAAGGAGGAGAGAGGCAGAAAGCAAAAGGCCAGAGGTGGGAAAGCATTGAAATGAGATTTGGAGCCACATTTGAAAGCAATGTGGAGGACAGGAAGGGAAAGGAATGAGGTGGACTAAGCTGATATCATCTGGCTAGGAGAGGGGTAGGCAACCTTAGTTCCTTTATGACTGTAGACTTCACTTCCCAGAATTCCTGAGCCAGGCAGCCTAAGGAGATAAGGGGAATTAAAGAATATGCAGGTTGGCCTGTTCTCCAACCAAAGAGAAACTGCTTCTGAGCAAGAGGGGGAGAGAGAGAGAGAAAGCATAAGGATTTTCTTTCTCCGCATCACATCGTCCAGCCAAGAGTCCCCTCCCTGCTGCCATAGAGAGGCAGCTGGGGATGCAAGGGAATCAGGAGATCAATTGGCTGTGCTCTGCCAATGGAGGAAAAGAGACTATAAATCACCAGGGAATCAAGTGGGAAAGAGCCGGATCAAGAAGTAGGTGGGATCAGAGGGGTCAGGATGAGGGAGATCCAACCCAGAAGGAAAGATTAAGCAGCCAAGAAAGACAGAGGGTAAGATGTGTGTGTGTGTTGTTTGTTTAAAATATACTGCATTTTTAGTACGACTGTCATTCTGTTGTGTATTTGGGTTGTGAAAGAAGAAGGATTGTTAGTTTCTTACAAGTCCAACCCAGGATGGCTTCTGCATTAAAGTAGCAACTACAGTGCTAAGCTATAAATTATGGTTTCACAACTGCCTTGATTTGGTTAATACAACAGGCTGAGCTTATATAATTCAACTGATTTTTTTCCTGTGAAAACAGCTTTAAAATGTGTTTTCTTTAAATATGGGCCTTAGGAATTTTGGATCTTGCTGTGCTTCTTGTTCTGAGGAAGTGAAAAATGTTTATGTGATTTTTGGCTCAGTCTGTTTATTATTCTGCTATTTTTAACTTTGTTTTGAAATGCATAAATATGCACATAACCAAAAAGGGGGCCACAAAGAAAGTATACAACGTAAATCAAAATTTTACTTCTTCTTAAAATCTGAAATGCAGCTTTTGTAGTAAGGATTTCTTGGTTCAGAATACCAACTTTTAATAGCTTGTGAATGGGTCTCTAGGATATTCCAGATATCACAAACCACAAAGGATACAATAGAATTCACATTCAAAACAAGGATTTGCATGCCAGGATTTTTGTTAGTTTGTGTGTGTGTATAATAGTGAAATTTATGGTCCAAAATCTTTTTACATACTTACCTATGTCCTACACTTCACAATACATGGAAAAATATAGAAACAAAGGACTGTTGACATAGCTATCCATCTGTCAATAGATACTTCCCCTGTTGGAAAAAAAAAATTACTACACTATGTAAGTACTCTACACTTTTCAGAGGATTAGAACTTTTTCTCCTCTGATATGGCAATAGGTTACATCAGAATCAAGCTAGTAATATGAAGAAGTTATTACAATATGATGACCATTTTGATGGCCCTCAGGAAATATTTTATTCATCCCACTTCAGTTTTCTCTGCAGACAGATGTCCCCTCTCACACCAGCAACTGTCATTGTTGGCAAAGGTGTCCTTGTTGGCACTTCAGCCAGTCCCCACTTAAGAGGCTGAACAGACTTGAGACTGATGTCCAGCATGAAGATATTTGTCCTTCCTATATGACATTTGCAAAAGCTGGTTGTATTCTCTTCTGGAATATTCCAGGTCTTTTCTGAAATGTTCAGCTTCCTTTTTTCTTTAAAGTAAATATCCAGCTCTTTTTAATTTTAAAGATTTAAGTAAGAAGATGCAAAAAGAATTATTCCACTGGTTATGCTATAGAAACTAATATTTGTTCCTTTAGATCCTCCTTACTGATTGATGAGGTGTTATAAGCAATGACAAATAACTATTTAGGCACATGGCTCTTATTTATTCAATTTATTAAGTTGTGATTATTTAAAGTTACAGAGGTAGGCTTTGCTTTTGGTTGGATTCAGACTTGGTTATGCTTAGACTAAACTCACTGAAATCAATGGATCTTCTAATAGTCATAACCAAATCCCATGGATTTTTCTGAGTTCACTCTAAACCTGGATCTATTAAATCACAAAAAAATGCATGGCCCCCAGGAATTAAGATGAATGTTAGCACATAATTTCTAATTACTCCATCTCTTAGTAGGGTCTAGAGGAGAGGACTTCAGACACTAATCCCACTAAATGGAAAGAAGCAATCATTTTGAAATAGTCCAGTATTATTATTATATTACGTCCCAGAAAATGGGATGAATACAATACGAATATAAGCAAGTTCTTTCTCTTTTTCTGCACAGCAAATGACAGCATGCTAAGCCATAAACTAAGATTTCAAACCACAGTGCATGGGTTCACACAAATGACGGCCCGAAACATCATTATATTAATTCATGCACTGATACGTTTACAGTTCTTCAGTACTTTAACAATTGTTAAACTACTTTGACAATTCATGTGTTTGTTCGATTCAGTACTGCCTCTGCTCATTTAGAGGTATTATAAATAAATTTCACATTCCCGTGCTTTTTAAGGGTGACTTTGAATACAAGGACAGCATCTGGTATTGGAAATAGGTGAGTGAGAACAGTTAGTGTCTTCAGAAGAGTGAGGTAATTTTCATGCCTTCATTTTTTGGGAAACTAACATACCATTATGGCCGTGAAGTACTGTAGGTGTCAGGATCATAAGGAAAGGCATTTCTCCCAAATTATTATTATTATTATTATTATTATTATTATTATTATTATTATAGTTGGAAGGGACCTTGGAGGTCATCTAGTCCAACCTCCTACTCAGACAGGAAACTCTATACCATTTCAGACAAATGGCTGTCCAGCCTCTTCTTAAAAGTTTCCAGTGTTGGAGCATTCACAGCTTCTGGAGGCAGGTTGTTCCACTGGTTAATTGTTCTAACTGTCAGGAAATTAGTTTAGGTTGCTTCTCTCTTTGGTTAGTTTCCATCCGTTGCTTTTTGTCCTACCTTCAGGCGCTTTGAGAATAGCTTGACTCCCTCTTCTTAATTCCAGCAACTGTGAGAAACTGGCGAAACAGGCACAGCAATGCCTGCATTTTCTGCGTCACATGAGAAAAGCACATCTTCCTTCCCCTGTCCTGGTCACTTTCTACAGGGGGACAATCGAGAGCATCCTGTCATATAGCATCACAGTCTGGTTTGGAAGCATCACTGCTTCAGACAGGAAGGCGTGCAGAGAGTGGTGAGGATGGCCGAAAAGATCATTGGCAGTTCCCTCCCTCCCATCCAAGACATAGCCCAGAAGTGTTGCTTGAGTAGGGTCCGTAAGATCATCTGGGACACTAACATTATCTTCATGACCTGTTTTCCTTGTTACCTTCTGGGAGGAGGCTTCGTGGTATCCATAGCAGAACATCCAGATTCAGCCATAGTTTCATTACATACAGCATTAACCTTGTGAACTCTCAAGCTTCCTCCTTCCATTATATATTCAAGATGGACAGTATTTAGTATTTATTTGTTATGTATATGTAGGGGTGTGGGTCTATACATATGTTGTATATAGTACGTTTACATGTGTGTCATGTATGTGTTTCACTTTGAGAGTGGGCAACTAAATTTCATTTTTGATGTATGCCGTTTTGCCCACAGTAAAAAAAATGACAATAAAGATTATCTTATCTTATCTTACCTTACCTTACCTTACCTTACCTAACCTTACCTTACCTTACCTTACCTTATATGTTTTAGCCTCCAGTCCCCTGATCATCTTTGTTGCTCTTCTCTGTACTCTTTCTAGAGTCTCAACATCTTTTTTACATTGTGGCAGCCAAAATGGATGCAGTGGAACAGCCTGCCTCCAGAAGCAGTAAATGCTCCAACACTGGAAGTTTTTAAGAAGAGACTGGACAGCCATTTGTCCGAAATGGTGTAGGGTTTCCTGCCTGAGCAGGGGGTTGGACTAGATGACCTCCAAGGTCCCTTCCAACTTTACTACTATTACTATTACTATTGTAAAGTGATATAAACACTTCATGTGATGTTGATTCTATCCCTCTGTTAATGCCGCCTACCACTGTGTTGGCCTTTTTGGCAGCTGCAGCACACTGCTGGCTCCTATTTAAGTGATTGTCCATTAGGACATGGCTTGACATAAATAGAGCTGCAAGAAGAACCAGACTCCATTACACTCCCAATGAAATCATCAGTGTGAGATGTCATGAGTCCAAATTGCCCTGATTTTGCCTTGCAATGAACTGAACTATTTTCTGGCTAAAATAGTCATGCCTGATCTAAAATCTAATTCAAGGAAATGTATTTTCCTTGTAAGCTATAGCATACAATACAGTTCTTCCACAAGTGTAGAAAGAAATGGACCAAAACCAACTGAGATGTTCCTGGCATCATTCAGAAACTGGAATGTGATTGGTGCAACCTTTATGGAAGTTTTATGTTTAAGAGAAATGTTTTGCATAGGCAGTTCCTCTAATTCTGGGGTATCAAACTGCCGGCCCACGGGCCAGTTGCATCATAAGGAAGCCACGCCCACCCCAGCTCCGGCAATGCAAAAAAAGTTGTGATATGTCGTGACATGTCAGGTGACGTGGTGATTTTGACACCTGTGCTATAATGCAAAATAGCTGAATAGTTTCACAATACATTAATTGGTTTTTAGTGTAGTGGTTAATATTTCGTTAAAGGATTAGAGAATGTTCATGCTACCATTTTTTTAAACAATTTCTATTGCATTTTTGACATGGGATAAATAAACAGAACTGGCAATATTACAAAAGTGGCCCCCTAAACATTTTTTTCATCCCCCAAGTAATATCAACACTTTGCTGAAATTTAAATATCACTTCCATCTGTGCTTTTTTCTCTGCTAATGATCAAATTGTAGCCATCAACATGAGAAAGAAAAAAGGAAGGAGGGAGGGAGGAAAGAAGAAAGGAAGGAAGGAAAAGAGAGAAAGAAAGAGAAAGAAAGACTTAATTTGTTCTTAAAAGTAGACATATGAATTTGAAAAGTAGGCATATGAATTTGGAGTGAACTAGAATCTAATTTCAATTCTGAAAAGTGTTGAATTGATATCATTGCCATCATATAAAACCTGCTATATTGTTTATGGGTCTATTTTAGTAAACAGCAAAAATAATAATGTACTTTTAAAAGGAGTGTGAAATGCTTCTGCCAAAATATATAGCTGCAGAGAAGTAATATGTGGATATAGCACTTACTTCTCTACTGATTTAATGAAGGCTCTTGAGCTCCATATTACAAGAACAGGCAATCCAGTGTTGAGTGTAAGGAACACTGGAAGTATTTCTTCTTTTGTAATACACTTTATGTTCTCCTTCAAGAAATTATTTTGCAGCTGGCACAATAACCTCATTTTCTTTGTCAAATATTTACATGTGGATCCAACTTCAATAACAGATAAATGCTAAAATATGAAAGTCTGTGAATGTTAAAATTATAGGGAGAAGAAATGGGAAAATAATTAATTATTACATCCTACTAGACATTGAACATGTGGCCATGATTCAGAGTGTAATGAATAAGATGTACATCAAACTTACACATTGCAGATCACTTAAACTCAGATGCAATACATGTATAGAAATACAAGCTGGATTCATGCATTGATCTAAATAGCCATAATTTGTTAACAATGGTTTCTTGAATAAGCCACAATTTCACAATTATAGATGGTAGATTATCTTCCATAGTTTGGAAACCACAATGAATGAATTCACACAACACACTAAGCAAAACTAAATAGATCACAGCATGACACAGTATTATATGTGAAAAGAATCATGGGATTTTTTAAAGTGTTGCTTTTGCAGGTGCTCTGTCTTATTCATGGAGTTTTATGATGAAATCCAGATGTTATATACCTTTCAAAGCACCAAATAAATTATATTTCCTTCCCTCCAATCACTAGATTTCTATTTAAGAGGAAAAGACAAGCAGCTGTATGATGGCTTGAAGGTTTGAAGTAGTAGAAGTCATCTATTCGAAAGCTTCCACAATTTGACTGCTTATCTAAAAAGACCCCTGTACAAATTTATGGATTATATATATCTCCTCAAGAACTCAATGGGACTATAGAAGACAACACTGGAAGTCAATTCAAGACAGTTCATAGAAATGGACATCAAGTATGGCACTATCATGGCTCCGATAAATGAAACCAATTAAAAGAACTTCAAGGCAAGATTTCTTCCTTAAAGAACATTTTATTAGGAAACAAAGTATCGGCACTTACATAGTTGAACCCAAGAATGAGATTCCCTCCTCCCAGATACAAAGTAACAAATTGCAATTCCCACCCCACAAGAGTTGTCATAAATCACATTCTCCAATTAGCATAAAACACGGCTTTTCTCTCCAGCCTCTCATCTGCCAAAAGCTTATCAGAACATGTCCTTGAGTTCCCACACTTCTACATTGTTATGGTTAGCTAAACCTTCAGGCAATTACCCCACCCCCCCCCTTCTACATCTGAATTCTAAAAGAATAGAAAGGCCCGTTAAAAGCAAAAGTAAGAATGGCTACTGGTTCTCAGTTGTCAGAGCCATGACATCCATTGTCACAGCGTTGACAGGCAAGTTCTAAGGTGATGCATTGTCTTCACTGCTTTTCTATATAGGCTTGGACCCTCCTGGCCAGATAATCACAAGGACTGGGTATGGATACAAGTTCAAGAGTGGAGCTACCATTAGTCACCCCTTCTACTTGGATGACATCAATCTGTATGCTAAGAGTTAACAAAGACATCGACTTGCTGATCCACCTGACACAGATTACAGTGAGGACCTTGGAATTATCATTCATACTGGAGAAGGTAGTATGGCCATACAGACAGATAGTAAGTCAAGAGAGAGAAAGTAGATAAGACCGTAGATAAGACTGAAAGGGCAGAACCACCAGTGGGTCATATAGCAGAAATACAGATCAGCTACAAGTTAGCTGCAGGTGTCCATGCTCTTGTGTATGTGTGATGTTTGTGAGAGAGAGAGAGTGCAAGGGAGAAGAGAATTCTGGCTAAAGAAATGAAGGTGAAACAACCTGTTCATGTCTTTTAAAATTTCTTCCAGTGCTTTAACCTTGATATCCATAATAAAGAATGGAATGTTTAAGGAATTACTGACAAAAATTCTGAGGAAAATCTTTTGCATGTTTTTCCACCCTTCAGTTATGATACTGAGAAGAGCCAGTTTGGTCTAATGATTAAGGCACCAGACTAGAAACCAGGAGACCATGAGTTTGTCCAGCCTTAGCCATGAAAGCCAGCTGTGTGACCTCTGGGCCAATCAGTCTGTATCAGCCCAACTCACAGGGTTATTGTTGTAAGGAAAATAGAAGGAAGGAGGACTATTAGATATGTTCGCTGTCTGCATAGGCTAAACAGCTAGTAGACACATACGTAACTAATTTACCAATGCAATTGTCTTTCTGTCAGTTCTGTCTCTTAATAGGGATATATAAAAGTTTTTGCCAAAGATCCTGCTGAGAGCAGATTTGGTTTTCACTTGTAATGGATTCATAACAGGTTGAACAGTAGGAGGGATCAGTCCAGCTAATGTTGAGAGAGAGAGAGAGAGAGAGAGAGAGAGAGATGATAGTGGCACGTGGTAGTGGCATTTAGAAATCACCAAGGGACTCTAGGTAGTGTAGAATTAAACACATAAAAAGCATCTATTGGTGTAGAACTCTGCCATGCAAATTGACAAAATATAGCAAGATTTAAGGTTTACACCAAATTATTTTCCCCATCTTATGAAGGCCTTCTTATGCCAGGTGCTATTTTTCCTCTTTATTTATTGCTATCCCTTGTGTTCTCATAGTTTGCTACTGGAACATTCCTATGCCTTATAGCAATTCACCATCTAGTGATAAGGACAATCTAGTGTAATGCAGTGTTGACATTATCTACATTTCTTCAGATTAGCATTCCCCAGTCTGGTGCCCTTCTCCACCCCCAGACTGCCAGCAGAATTCCCAGGATACCTATCCGGCACTAATATTGCTGTCTGTCTGGGCATTGCATCTATAAGGCACCACCGTAGAGAAGATTGCTTTGCTCAAATCTTCTGTGAAACAAAGCACTCCTTCAGTATTTTACATCGCTCATTTCATATTGTGCTCTTTTGTTAAAACAAAGTATCATTAAATTAGATTTTGTTAAAGGTAATCCTTGCCCATTTCTTTGTATCAGTTTTAGTTGCAGCCTACAAGACAGCCTTCAAAAGCAGAGTGTACCCACAATAAGATAGGTATTTTTAATGTGTAACTTAGTGTGCTCTGCAAACCCAGTTCATTCATGCCATGGTTAAATAACAGTTATAATTTAATACAGTTATAATTTAATCCACTCATTGTGTGTGAAACAAGCTTAGAAAGAGGGGAAGACTGGGCTGAACAAAAAAATGTTATACAGTACTAGCAAAAATGGAGCAACACGAAAATTGATTTTTAACTGAATTTTAAGTATATGTTTTTTATTTATCATTTTAAGGATTTTATAGTGTACTTTAATTATATGTCTGTAAGCCACCTAGAGCTGCCTCAGTGAGATGGGTAGCATAGAACTTTAATAATACATAATTGAAAATAAATACAAAAATAGCATTGGATCACATCCTACAAATACAATTCTTAAGAATGATATGAATGAACATTTTCTCTTGAGGCTTAAAAAAACGGCGAGTCACTCTTTTGCAGATTTGTCAGCACTGCAATTATCATTAGTACAGGACAAGCAAGGTAGAATATACCTTCAATCACATGTTGATTTTACATTCATATCACAAATAACAGAAATTCAAGATGATGTTTATACTAAACTCTCCACTGATCTTCTGCCTATTTCCTGAGCAGTAAGTCTTATGTTGTAAGGTAAAGGACATGGAAAGTGTTTAGAACAGGGGTTCCTGGGAACTTTAAGACTTGTGGACTTCAACTCCCAGAATTCCCCAGCCAGTCAACTAGGAGTTAAAAGTCCATAAATCTTGAAGTTCCCAAAGTTGGACACCCCTGGTTTAGAACTTCAAAGACAATGCTGGCATAATAGGGGTGTACAACTTGGACTGTAGCTGCACATAGAGTTCCTAAAGCCATTTTTTCTATCACTTACATTGAAAGGGGGCAAAAAATGCTTGATTTCTTGTCTGTTTTTCCTTTTCTTCTTTCCCTCCCAATAAAACTTTTTTTTCACTTTGAAAAGTGAGATGTTTAAAATAATCTACTACTACCCATTAAAGCAAAATTTAGTAGCTGGTGTTGCTATGATTGTTGGATCATGGGTCAATACAATAAGCTTACGGATTTACCCATCTCTCAAAAGTTGCTCTAGCACCATTGAGCCTTACCCATGCAAAATGGGAGTGTCTTTTGACTGCACTCCCATATTTTCTGTGCAAAGCTGCCCAGCTTTAAATCCATGTTGTGGGCCCTCCTCTAAATGTCTCTGAACTTCCAGAGTCATGACCCATGGTTTGAACATCTCTGCTGTTAACATGTACCAAAAATAAGACTACAGTGATTTTTAAAAGCAAATTCACAAAGAAAAAGAAATGTTGCAATAATGGATAATTCTTAAAACTAAAGAAAAAGTGGATTTTTTTTAAAAAAAAAAAAGCACTTTAGATTTACCCCTGGGATGATAGGAGAACGTGAATTCTTTCTTCTTTATAATCCAGAATTTTTTTCAAGGAAACTTTCATCTGACTTAATTCTCACCAATTGAACCTAGAGCAATCTTGCTGAGCCTTAGGCCGCTAGAGGGCGTGCCAGGGCTATAGCAGTTTCTTGCCCTGCTTACGGAAAGAATGCCTATAAACGCACAGAAGAGACAGAACGGACGGCGTATTGCGCTTTTTCCTAACCTTGAGAACAACAAATTTTTGCATAACCGGTGCATTTATAGGTCATATTTCTTTGCTTATTGCCTCGTTTTTAACACTGAACCTGGAGAGAATTGGAGCTTCAGTTTAATACCTCCTCTTGCAAAGAGGCAAAGGAAATAACAAGAAACAAGAGGAACAAACTAGAGGAAAGTCTTTTCAGGCACACACACGCGTTTGTGGCTTGTGTATTATTTATTATTTATTTATGAGACTTATATACCGCTTTAAGTGCAAGCACTCTCTAAGCTGTGTACACCAGTAAGCAATGTGTATGTATGTATATATATATATATATTATATATATATATATATATATATATATATATATATATATATATATATATATATATATTTACATTGTCTCCAACAATCTGTATGTATGTACTGCATACATACATACATACATACATACACACACACAAACACACACACAGAGAATATATATATATACTGTGTTTTGTGTTTCTGTGTTCTTAATTTCCATATATATATTTCCGTATTTATTATATATATGTCACTTAGACACCTACCTCAGGGATCACCTAGCAGGGAAAATACAACCCATCTGCTCCCGCTCCTATTTTTGTTTTTATATTTAGAAATGACAAAACAGGGATTGTAAATGGCATCTAATAGCTGAAATCCACATTTCATAAATCTGAAATGAAAGTATCTTTTTAACATTTGGGATGGCTGCTAAAAAGCTTTGTAAACTCAGGAAATGAAAGACAGGCATGCAGTTGACTGGAAGCAATGGGGAAAATGTGAAATGCTGAGCCTCTTTTAACACAGAACTGATGAAACAACTGACTTTCTCCATTGTATAGTTGGATGAGGTGGGGGGATTTTTTTCCCCCACTGCCACATCCTTCTGATAAATGAAATGAAAAAGCAACATTATTGGGCCACCTGCTTCTAATTCCTAACTGTGGCAACTTAATTCTGAAATTGTTTGTTAGCTGCATAATATTGGAGCCATTAAATATATGAAAAAGCCATTACATTCTTTAAAACATTGCACTGGAAGAGAGAGTGCAGTTTAATATTAATGTTGTGTTTTGATAAAATAACTTTTCTACAGAGGAAATAGGCTAAAATTAAATTTCTGTCTGCAGGGAAGAAAAAGAAATCAGAGTGGTAAAGAAAAGGGGAAAAAAACAGCAGGGGCATGGCCTTATTGAAACATCCTAAAAAAATGACATCCCAGCTGTTTTGGGGAAAGTTCAGTTATATTTTGGAAAGAAAATATGATTCCCCTGCAAATGGTAAGAAACTTTTTTTACAAATAGAAGAAGACCGTTTAACACTTTGTACAGTACATGGATGTGCAGTATTTTCTTAGGAAATTTCTTGTGTTTGCTTAGCAATACAGGGTGGGAACAATAAACAATGCCAATACAAAATGCCTGAGATATAGTTATTGCTTTGAGAGAGATACAGAGAGAAAGAGTTTGAGCAATCTCTTGGCAATGGATACCAGAAGTATGTAAACACCCAATGTATGATTGTTCTCATTCTCCATATTTTCATTTATTTATAATATTTATTGGTATAAGGGACTTTTTAAGCATACAGTATCAAGTATATAAATGTATATTTCAACGTTTATTTTTTGTGTTTTGATACATGGAGGTTTGGTTCTTCATCTACCTATCTACCAATCAAGAATTAAAGACAGTAGGAATTCTAGTTTATTGAATAACTAATCAGAAACTTTCTCATTGTTTAGCATTTCGTTAAAAACTGAATCTTTAACGTGAAATTTGCAGAAGTACTTAGAAAAATACGGAGAGCACTCACAAATAGAAACATTATTCCTATTTTTTTATATATGAGATGGAATGCATCCCCTAAGATGATGCATTCTGCAACATGGGTATGCAGAGTAACAAGTGTGAAAGCAAATAATACTCCCTTTCAGAAATGGATTAATATGTAAATATCATATGCATGCATATGTTGATATTGAACCGTGTGCCTGTATAACCACTTAATATTAGTATGTCAGTATTTCTGTACCTCCTCTCTCTTTTTAGTACTTGCTACAATGAAATTATCTAAACTCAGTGATGATTGAGTTAGTAGCTGTATTATTCCATAGGTACATATATTACATGTTTTTATCGTACAGGCATAATGCAGTAGTTTATGACCCAGACTAGAGAAAATTGGGTTCAGGTCTCTGGGTGACTTACACCTGTTCATTTCAGTTCATTCTGAAATGCTTGTTATTCTGAGAACAGCACAGGAGACCCCCCTCCCATTAAAGCATCAGGAGTTACCAGAGGAAAGGCAGAATAAAAATTCAGTAATAAAGTAAGTAGGTTTCTATAATGAAAAAACTGTACTTTGCATAACAATTTCCATCCATAAATAAAAAATACAAAGTAATTATGTAATGTCAAAATAACAAATCATAAACTCAGTTTAAGTATCTGGTACACACCTGGTTTTCCTGTTAGAGTTTTCCTAGCATTCTTTGTAATGGACTAAAAAGATAACATCAATAAAAAAAATTCTGTTTCTTTAGAGCAAATTTGTTTCATGTATGTCTATGTTTTATTCATTTTGGTGAGAAAGGAGATATTCTCATAAGAGTGCAAATCTCAACATGAAAAATAAAATAAAATTTAGCTTGTCATGGGTTGAAGCTGCCCCTGGCCTTCCAACAGCAGCAAAAGCCTTGTCAATGTGAAATCAAAAAAAGTAATAACTTTTCTTTGATATTTTTTACTACACTGTGGTGGCCAAATATCTATTTCCATAACTTCCTTGATTAGTTGGGAAATATTTTTAAGAGTATACATAGAATGAGTGATGAAGCAATCTACATAAAGGAGAATTTAGCAAACCTTTGCACGAGACCCCCTTTTTCCTTCTTTGGTGGTGAAACCACAGAAAAGATTAGATGTCTTTATTTTGTCCATGTTGTCTAGGAATTATGAACATGTAATCCTCTACACTGCTGAGTTAGTAGATTAACCAGTGGCACTATATATGGAGGACAATTCTTATCTGGTAGAATTTTTTAATAAAGACAGAACGAAGTAAATGAAAATAAATCAACAATCCTAGCTAAGTCAATTCAATGATGAATTTCAGAAGTAAATGAGAAGGAGGCCAAGCAGAGTCATAGCTCATCGGACCAGCATATGTTTTGCATACAGAGGTCCCAGGTTCAATCCTTGGCACCTTCAATGGGACCTTGCTTCCAGCAGATGTTTTGACTCCAGATTCACATCAGCCCTGGTTGTTTGTCAAGAATAATGAACTTTATAACCCAACATGTTAATAACATACCTGCCTCTCCCTTGTATTAAAAGACTTTAATGCAGTAGAATTGGAGGAGACAATTATCCTGATACTTTGGAGAGACATTCCTGAACAGAGGATACTAGACTATAATAGGCCAATAATCTGATACATTTCTTAAAGCTAATTCAGCATGCTCTTCAGTAGTGGTTGCTTCATTTTATCCCATAACTTCAGACTCATATTGATAATTGTTATGTCTGACAACATCTGCTTTGAGAAATGCTTACACCAAGCAAGGATTTAACCTTTTGCACTTTCCAATCTGCAGATAAGACCTTTTATTCTATGATCTATTAATGACTACTGTTTCACTCATTACAAATAGCAGCTACCCAGATGGATAAAATCCCAAAGAAAATTATTAGAATACTGGGCAACAAACTTTGAGTGTAACTAATAGTGAACCTCTACTTGATTGTTGTGGAAAGCTGAAGTGAAGGGAGATTTTAATAAATATTCCAAGTTTTATTAAGAAGGTGTGGAAAGAATCCAGAGACGGAAATATTTTGTGAAATATTAAAAGGCGGAATATATTTCCCCAAAGGAATAATGGAGAAGATCTTTTTAAAAAAGACAGTAACCAGCCCCCAGAAATCAGCCTAGCCCCTAGGCAGAAGCCAGTTTTTAGAAATGCAAATTTAATAATCCTTTCAGAAAGGTTGGAGCCTTCCAGCTAGAAACTGAAGAAATTAGGAAGACAAAGATCCTTAAAATCTACATACCCCAGCCAAACTCTAAGACAAGACATAATAGGATTAACCCACCAATACCAAAAGGGCACACTGAGACTCAGGTCAAAGTACATGACACAGGAAATACAAAGCCTCGAACAGGAACAAGAAACAACCTCAAGAGCCCCAGAAGGTATAAAAGCCCACCACTCTGCTCCAGTTTTTTTTTCCAGAGCCATCTTTCTGTCTGGCTCTCCTCTTCAATAAACTACAACCTTCTTTCTAAAGCAGTCTCCATGTTTTATTCCCGGCTTGGACTGGACCCTGATGAAAAATTTTCTTTCAACAAAGGCATGAGCGATTCTGATATCTAAATAAGAACACTTTCTTAAATCAGCAATTGCTAAAGGAGTACTGTCAAGATTCATTCAGTGGCTCTTCATATATAAACTAAAATTTTTTGATCCTTCTTTAGTTGCTTGGACCTCTTTGACTCCAAGCACCAGATATTTGCAAGGTTATCAGCAATTCTGCTATAGAATATATTGATTGCATATAATAAAGATCTTTGTTCCTGGACCAACCTACTCTATACCTGTTCCCTAACCATCTGGGCATTTTCTTAAATTTGCTGCTTATTCCGAAAAAATGGTTTAGTTGATTGCAATCTGCTCATTT